AATCTTTCACTCACCATTGATGTATTTCTAATTTCTTGTCTCTGATCTATTCGGTAAAAAACATGGTTCGAATAATTCTATCGTAACTTTGTCCTTTTCCATCGTAGAAACTTTTTCCGCATTCTTCCTTTTACGATTTTCGGATTTATTTGGCACTTACTTTCAGGGGCAAGAATCTAGATCTGTATGACGCGATTTGCGCCCCCCAAATTGTAGATCCCCGTGCGAGCATAAAAGTCTATGAAACCATACTTCTATATGTGACCCTTCGCGAGATATAACCCTCCAAAGAATTGCATATATCATTTCCGGTCGCGTGACTTCTCGCCCAAAAGGGCGAAAGGGCGAGAAGTCACGCGACCGACTTTTTTTTCGCTTTTTCCAATGCTCAGTGTTTAAAAAAAGCGCGCGCTTCCCTTTCATAGTTCTCCCCGCGCGCCCTCTCTCACACGCGGCCCGCGGGCCAAGTCTCCCGCTTGCAGTGAGTCGCTATCTGTTGCCTGTAAATACAAATATCTATTGTGTGATACGCTTTTTGTGTAATCTTGTGTTCAGTTATACGAACGCTGAGGTGGCTTTTCTTTTTTGTCAGACTTATTATACCATCAGTAAAAGGAGGACAAATTTTAGAAGAACTTTTTATTCCTTTGAGAATAAATTTCGGATAATTATGTCCCTTTTCAACTCTGTGTGTTACAAATGGATTATGAGAAATGCAGGAGTTGTGATATTAGATAAAATATGGATAGTTATGGTTGCACTTATACCTGCTAACCATAACCATCCATATTTTATCTAATGTCACAACTCCTGCATTCCTCATAACCCATTTGTAACACACAGAGTTGAAAAGGGACATAATTATCCAAAATGCATTCTCAAAGGAATAAAAAGTTCTTCTAAAATTTGTCCTCCTTTTACTGATTGTATAATAAGTCTAGCCAAAAAAAGCCACTTTAGCGCTTGTATAATTGAACAAATATCTATTATTATTACACCTCTTACCTGAGCCGGGACTCGAATCCCGGTCCCGGCCGGCGGCGGTCCACGCGACTCCACCTCGGCCGTAGAGATGCAGCGCGCCCTATCAGGCGGTCCAACCTCGGGCGTGCAGGTGCAGCGGGCCCCTCGCGCGGCCAATGGCTCGCGGCACCGCCCCCGAGGTTTTATAAGCTTCTAGGCCGCCTTCGGACATTTTCGGCCAGTATTTGTTACCTCAATAATTAGGAGTACAACTCAGTAAATATTCAATATTTGTGATATTCGAGGCAACGGAAGCGAACGCAAGAAGTAATGGTACGTATTGACAATTTTCGAAATCTGAAACTAAGTAATTTGCTTTACTTTTTCCCAATAGTAAAATATTAGATAACATACAAAGTAATGTGGAGAAAGGGAACGAATTGGACAATTGTCACGAACCAATACCGAATGAGAGATTAAAAGGGAGTTCCCGCAAGTTGTATCATATCATTCTGGAATTTTAGCATCAACTTTTCTTAATGAAAGTTTTCAATTCACTGGAAAGTGATTCAGATTATTCGACTATGACTTTCATGATATCACGGAACGAGTTTGTGCTTCAAACCAAACCCAGTGGCGTAGCGTAGTGGGAGCGGCCCGCCTCGGGCGGCACTTTTTAGGGGGCGGCAAAATTTCACAATAAATAATAATAATATCGTAAAAATTTGAACCATTTCATTTCATATTTTTGTCGCACCTACGACTCGGACCGATTGAAATGAGCACAAAATTTTTCATTATTTATTCTGTGAAGAAACTGAATTTTAGTCTTTTAACTAAATTGAGATAACTAAATAAGGGAGCGGCGAAATTTTTCCCCGCCCCGGGCGGCTGACACCCACGCTACGCCACTGACCAAACCTATCTGTATACGTAATGAACAAAATGATTGCTTTTTACATGCTTATGATTATTAACACGAGGCAGAAAATAACAAGTGAAAACAACATATCTGCAATTGGAAAACAGTTGGTCCATTTCTTTGCAATCTGACGTTCTTAAGCTGCACTACTCGCTGGGTGGTGAATTTCCAAGCATCATCTAAAACATTCTACTCAATCATTGAATGATGCTATTACCTCAGAGGTGCAAAAATTACTCCAAATTCTTGTGATAATAGAGAGGTTGAGGCGCACATATTCAGTCCAAAACGTGAACGGTGGACGGATGAGCGCCGCCATCTGGCAAGTCAAGAAGGTTGACAATGGCGTTCGCTACCTGTAGCATGACGAGTAGAAATTGGGTTTAAACTTCATTTTTTTTGTGTTTTTGGTTAAAATTATGACGTATTTTATTAAAATAATGATTATTTAAGCATTTGCGAATAATATTGTAAAGAAACAGACGATTTTAATCCAGAAATTATTTAATTATTCAATTTTTTAGCAAGTGATGTGAAGTGCCTATAGAATTTACATATACAGTATTTGTCTTCATAATAGCTTATCTTAAGGTAGGTTTGTTCTTCCACGGCATCTTTCTTCTACCATCAACAGCGTAATACGTTTGTAAATTTTCTAAAAATTAATTTTCCGAGCTGTTTTCGAATTTAAATAAGCTACTACTTCCCTCGACAAAAGTATGAGGTAGTACGATCGTACGGTAGGAGACACCACGCTAATAAAAAAATACAGTAAAACCTGTCTATGGCGACCACCCACGGTTCCTTCAAAAGTGGTCTTTTAGACAGGTGGTCGTCCAATACAGGTGGTGCCGTAATACCGTATTTCCGTACGTATTTTGCGCACTTTTTAGCCATTTCTACTAAGCAAAACTCGAGGCTAGCAAAAACAATTTTTTCAACGATAGGGGCTATATTGGTATTGTATTTTATTCTTATCGGATAGCCCGATTTACAGGAGTCTTCATGATATTATAAGACAGATTTAACACCAACATTTTAAAGATTAATACAATACTCGCATTTTCTCAATTATAATGCACACTTTCTTTTTTCCGACTTAATTAATTCGACTCGGTTGTTTTCGTTAGCTCCTCAGTTACGTGTATTACGTCATCAATATACAAGCGCGTCCTATCTCTCCATCACTTAGCTTTTGGTTTTCGTTAGTTTAATCTTATTTTAACTTTAAAAATACTGTATTTTTTAATATTTAATATTTTCTTAATTAATTAAGTACAATAAGAAAAATTATTAATTAATAATAAAACGATTTTATTATTTTTTCTCATTATACGATTTCATTACAATCGCGGAATCGAAAAAGGAAGTAAAACTGATTTTTGCATTAATGCGTTTATTGTTTTTTGAATATTTTGCCTGCGAAAATTACTTGGATATTATTTTTCTAAAAATATCGTGGAAATAAGGTAGGTTGATACAGAAACTATTTATCGCACGTGTACTGTATATGAGCTTCAAAATAAATAAATAAAAATAGATTTTATCAAACGATGAGATCAGCCGATTAATTGTATCGTGTACAATATTTTACACCCCCAAGGAAAATACTGTAGGTCTAGGGTAAAATAAATTTTGTTTTCCCACAGTTAAACTTCGCCGCTAATTGCTGTTGTGATAACTTTAATACGATCTTCTAACGACAGCACTTTGCATTTCGGACATTTTCCAACAAACTGAAATGAATTTCCTTTGTTGCTAGACTAATTTATTAACACCTGCACCTAATTTCAAGGGTGGGAGAAGTGCCCGGGATGGGTTCGAACGAGAGTTTAGACTAATTCATTATATTAGGAGGTGGAAACGTTGTTGAGATGGGTTCTTACAATAGTTTAGACCAGATACATTCGCGAAAGTGGTCGCTTATTACAGGTGTTGTATGTTGTTTCGGACCAAATATCGATGCCCGCGGTCGCGTTACACGGGTGGTCGTTTAATACAGGTAACTTATACGAAGACTCTATGGATAAACTATTCCGTGCCAGAAATTTTTGCCCGTTTTGACAAGTGCCCTTCGAATGCAGGTGGTCGCCTAAGCAGTTTTCACTGTAATTATTTAGTGATTAAACATCTTATAAATACTTTTAAACAGTTTAATTTGTTTATTTACATTTGCGGTAACACTCGATATTAAATGTATCCGCCATTTTTTTCAACAAATTTCCCGTGAGTCAATGCGCGACGTTCATTGAGTCACATGATGTTGTGAACGAGCGCCACTTCTTTTACTTGGACTTAAAACGTAAACCGTGTACTTCTGCTTGCCGTACAAGTTTAAATGAAGTCAGACCGATATCCTTGTTGCCTATACTTGGGAAGGTTTTGGAGCGACTGATAACCAATAGGCTTACTTGGTTCATAGAATATAATAGGTGTCTGAGCGCAGATCAATTTGGTTTTCGACCTCAAAGATCTGCTGAGGAGGCCATTGAGAGTATGGTTAATTCTGTCCAACAACTTTTACAGGAAAACAAGTATGTTTTGGGAATATGTTTAGATAATTCCAAAGCCTTTGATAGCATATGGTGGCCGTTTATAATGCATCAACTGCGCAATTTCTATTGTCCCGTAACGTCATATTACTTTTGCAAGATTACTTACGTGAACGAACGGCGATTTTGCAATGTGGTCAGCATGAGGTCACTAAAAATATTACTAGAGGTTGCCTCAGGGGTCCGTTTGCGGACCTCTACTATGGAACGCCTCTTTTGATGCTTTTCTTCGAGGAAATTTTGGATCAGACAAAGTTATTTGCTTACGCAGATGATGTGATGATGCTACTGGAAGGGAAATCAAGAGCTGATTTAGAACTCAAAGGCAATAAGATGCTTGCGAATATTTATAATTGGGGCATGGAGCATAAGCTTAAATTTAATCCTCAAAAGACAAAGGGTATAGTATTTAATAAAGCGGGAAAACCTAACTTATATCTACGACCTCCACACTTAAAGATGAATAACAACGTCATCAAAGTGAATAAATCCTTAAAATATTTGGGCGTGATGATTGATTTTCGCTTGTCTTGCATGTAATATGCATCAGTAATATATTTGATATGCATATCAAATATATTACTGATCGCACCGGCTTCGTACTACAATCTTTCACCCAGGTTGCCAGAAAAGATTGGGATCTTTCTTCTGGTGCATTGTCAATCATATATGATGGTCTATACATTCCTATTATTACTTATGCGTGTGGCACCTGGGGGTGGGCCATCAATAAGACCCATATTAAGAGAAAGCTGATTTCATCGCAAAGAAAAGCTTTATTACTTATAACCAAAGCCTTTAGAACAGCTAGTAACTCAAGTATTCAAGTACTGGCTAAGAAACCACCGATTGACTTGAGTATTTTACAGAGGAGAAAACTTTTAAGACTTAAATGGGGCGAACCAGTTCAGACTAGGACACGCTTAATAACAACTAATGATGTAGAATGGTATGTTCCTTTTTGTGATACCCCTTCTCCTGATAATTTTATAATTGGATTATCTACTTTTATCCAAAAGACACAACTCCATATATTCACTGACGGTTCGAAAATTAACGATTCGATTGGCTGTAGTTTTGTAGTATATAACAGCAATAATCACGAATTATATAATCAAATTTTTCGTTTGGATAACTACTGTACCGTATTTCAAGCTGAATTAATTGCAATTAAAATGTGTATTCATTGGGTCCATGCAAATTATATAAATACAACTACTCATATTTATACGGATTCATTGTCAGCTAACAGCCTGATCAACAGCACAAAGTTGCATCCAATAGCAGAAGACATTCGCAACCTAATAAGGCACTCTAATTCTAACTTTATTATTACTTGGGTTAGAGCCCATCAGGGGCTAATTGGTAATGAAAGGGCTGATCAACTGGCCAAGTTGGCAGCTACTGATAACTCTATTCCTATTATCTATAATAAATTAAGTCAGGGCTCTGTAAAAAGAATTCTTTGGGAGGATACCCTCAATACTTAGCAAATGATCTGGGACTCCAATAGCGAGCACATCACACACGAATTTATACCAAATCTACAACAATTTTTCAAAATTTGGTGGTTTGAACCTGACTATTTCACTACCCAGATATTTACAAATCATGGTAAATTTGCATCTTATCTTAATAGATTTACTAATAGGCCCACAAATTACTGCCCCACATGCCTTGTTATTGATGGTTCTAGGCACTATTTCTTTGTGTTAACTTCGAACATGAAAGATTGGAACTTAGCTTCTTTTAAAAGAAAAGAATATTAATTGGCCCTGTCAATTAAATGATTGGTTGAATATTGACATTTTTAAAGCCTTTAAAAGTCTGGCCAAAAGTATTAATCAATTTACCCATCATTACATTTATAACTAATGATAGGAATAGGTTAATTAATTTTCTTTGTATTTCATGGAGTTCTATATTTCTTAATATATGCAATTGTATCTTTGGGACGTTCTTTCTTTTAGTTTATTTTAATACATCTGTGAATTATCGGTGGTAACACTATTGCTTATATGCTAGTGTTATCTGGAATGATCTATCTTGCATTCAGGGGCAACATCCCTGAACACTTTTAGTCTGTTTTGTCTGTCTGTTGCACACCCTACATGTAGCATTATATATATTGGCTATCTGTATTAACATAAATATTTTGATTAAGAATCACAAATGCTGTCCAATTCAATAAAAAAGTGTAGTGTTCGGCGTTCTCATACTGGATTTGCCCACACTGGGTCTATTTGAGTTCATTCTACCATGATGTGCTTTCACCTATTCTACAAGAAAAAAAAAAATTTACATCATACACCTGTGCTTAGTGTCATTCCAAGTATTCGTGTTGTGCCTGTCATATAGTGTTATTTCATTTGTGCATTATAGGCTGTGATTCCATCTGTTTAGTGCATGGTCCGTGAAGCTCCCATGAACTTTACAGGGAACGCTCACTTTAATAACTTCCTAAATATGCACTGTGCACAGTTTTCGTCATGTTATTACACAACTGGGACCAAATATGACTCTGCCATTCCAGTCGATATTCCACAGCTACATGATTCTACCTTCCTGTGGTTCAATCATCAACTAATTTTCCTGGTACTTTCGTCGGATGATAATTTTCCTGGTACCAAACATTCAACGCTATTTTTTTATGTCGACTTAATATAGACAGAGGACAGTTGTGTCTTTTTATGTATCTTGTAAATGTGTAATTTATGTGTTTGTAAACTTTGCTGTTAGATTTAATATTTTTTTTTGTTATTTTGGTTTTAAGTTTATCTTATTATTTTATGATATTTTGTCAATCTTAAGTATATTATATATTCTCTTATTGTAAAATTTTTCCTGGTAATGCTCTACAGCGGGGCCAGGAAATGTACATATTGTACCTAATAAATTAAAATGAATGAATGAATGAATGAATGCCGTACAAGTTTAACGTTTGTACTTGCGCCTCAACCTCTCTAATATTCAGAAAACTTTAGGGCAGGGGTGTCCAACCTTTTCGTTACTCTGGGCCGCATTGGAAGAAGTCAAGGAGTTTTGGGCCACAAGTTTATATAATATGTACTTGTGGCCCAATATACAAGTATATTTAAGGACTAATATGTCTAGATTATAATAATAAGTATTAAAACTTTATCACAAAAAAGGATATTTTAGAAAACTACTTTTACAGATACTTTCAATTTTTACTTAGAAATAGATAAATTCATTTATTATAAATATAAAGAAACAAACGAAAATTTATTTGAAAAAACACAAATATTTGTTTTATTTGGGTCTCTAATTAATAAAAATCGACGAAACACTTTTTTAAAGTGCATTTTTATTCAACTAATATATTTATGAATAATATGTAGCCCAAAAAGTAGGCAAAGCGCCAAATGATATTTTTTACATCAAACTGAAAAAAGTAGCCACATTCGGTGAAATGTAGCCAAATCCTGCGACTCTGGAAGGAATAATAAATAATGCTGGAGTTGTGACTCAAAGGATTATAGACCCAAATGCGAGGAAAAAAAGAGAAAGGACAAAACATAAAGAAGTGAGAAAGGTGGAAAATTAAGAATCAATGCTACTATGAAAGACCGAAATTAGAGAATGTCGATATTCTCCGGTGAATGTCCAAATAATACGAAATACAAAATACGTCGGTGAAAGTCCGAATATTTGGTCATATTATTTTACATTCGAACAATCGCCGGTGTATGTCGACAAGCACAGATAAGCTTTGGTGGAGGTCGAAATGACACCCGAGGAGCCGATGTCGACAGAGAGGCAACAGTCTGTCGCCAAATCCTTTGTGGGTGGCCGGAGGTAGGACAAGGTCTTTTGATCCCGTGAGGTTGGGATCGGTTTGTCAGGTCGAGTGGTGTAAGATGAGAGGGGTCGTCGGTAAGGCGTCGGCGATATCCGAATAAAAGACACGATTAACAGATCAGTTCGTAATTTGTAAAGAAAAGTTACTTTCTATAGATGAGATTTCTTCTCAGGAAATATCGCTGAGAGAAGCAGCTGCAGCTAATTCGAAAAGTGGAAGGCAAGGCTATACACGCTGTCATTGCAAAAAAAGTGTTCCACGAATAAATGCAGTTGTAATAGCAAGGGATTCTTGTGCAATTGAAAGTGCCATAACAGTTTAAATTGTTGCAATAAATAAGATTTATAACGATAATCACATAGTTTATGTGTAAGTTTATTATTGCATTATTTTCTTTAATGATTAAGAATGTTCTGTTCGTTTTACGTTCAACAGTTTATTTACATGTGCTCTTACTTAAGCTTTCTCCTATTTTGACATATTAAAATGTTGCATTTTTGTCTTAACGTAATAAAAATATTTTTATTCAACATTTACCATCAGTGCATGCTGAATGTTTACATTTGCCGGTGTAAGTGAGAAATAATGATATTTAGCAAATATTTCGTACATACACGAAACGACTGTGTGAATGCTGACATTCGCCAGATATCGGTTATTCACAGTAAAAACAATATTTGCATAACAGAAGATCTATTTAACCGTTCTCACTACTTTTTATCTTTGGGCCTTTCTCGCCTTTCTCCAAATTTGGGTCTCTAATCCTTTGAGTCACAACTGCAATTTTATTTATTAATTTTTTCTCATTCACACATCTCCAAGTATTTGAAAATATTTCGTTTCCACTCAATAATAAAATATGAATAAAGGTTTACGACTTTGTGAAACTTCTTTTTTGAGTTTAGGAAATAAATAAATAATAAAAAAATTAAAACATTTTTCGGTTTTGTTTACACGTTTATTGGGCCGCATTGGAACTTGCCTTGGGCCGCATGCAGCCCGCGGGCCGCGGGTTGGACACCCCTGCTTTAGGGAAAGAATTGAGCAATACGGAATGTTCACATCCTCTTGTAAGACACGACAAACATTTGCCAAACATTCTGTTGCTACTAATAAAAGAAGTTCGTGTGAAAATCCAACTGTGATTTTTCACGACTCGTTCCAAACATTCGATTTGAAGGCCATCTTCAACTTCCGGATTGAGAAGAGTCAAACCGGAAATCTTGATAGACAAGAAAGCTGTAATCCAGTGGTTCTCAACTGTACATGTACCCCTAGGGGCACGAGCGTAAATCGAAGGGGTACATCTAACTTTCATTATAAAATGGCGTATGTTAATCAATTTGCTGTAAATTATTAACACAAGAAACGACAAAAACTTGCTTTAAAATATTCCAGTGTGAGCACAGATTTCCCTTTTAACAGTCTAAACGACTTGTTTATCCACTTGATTTGCCTGTATATTTGTGCCGTTAGTGCACAAATATACAGGCAAATCATCAATAATTATTGCTCGATAAGATTGGGGCCTTTCGTGTTTTTACTGGACTACTGGTATTAGGAATAACGAGGCCTGGATTGTACCCTCACCATGCAACGTGTGTCACTGCATGTGCGCATTACTTGATATTTAGCAAATTTAGACATTACGTTTGTTACAAAATTTGAAAGATTTATGTATTGTTCTGCGCGTTATAAATTCTCAGCCATTACTTTCAAGATCAGTACACAATTTTAATCTCTATTTAATAACGTGGGAACCAAATTTTGAAAAAATTACTGAAGATTTATCGCAACAAATATCCCATTAAATTTTGTTAGAAATTATTATAGAATAATTTAAATTTTCTTTATTGTTAATTATAATTATTTATTTTTATGAAATGTAATTTATGCATGTATTGAAATGACTTCTGTGATTTTATATAATATTCTTATCAAATAATAATAAATAAATGTATGTACCTGATTAAATTTATTATTATTTACGTAAAATAAGTAATTTACCTTTAGTTACAGTTAGTTAGAGTTTTTTCATGGCGCTCAGTTATAAGGGCTGTATACATCTAATGCAGTAATTATAAAATTTACATACAAAAATATAAGGGGTACTTGAGAAACAACTAATGGGGTACATCAACAAAAAAGGTTGAGAACTACTGCTGTAATCGAAGTACGAATGAAAAGGCAATTTCTACATTAAAACTCTTTCTTGCGTTATTAACGCTCAAAGCTGCAAATAGCAATTACTTTCATATTCATTAACCTGAATGACAGGATATTGAAATACAGATTTCATGTCTGTACAGTATTTAACAGCAGCTCTTTTATAAAAAACAAAAAGAGACACAAGCTATGAAAAAGTATAGAGGAGAAGGTGGTATTATGGAACCCCAATTATATTATAATGAATTATAAACAAGGTATCATAACTACACCCACACTTTTTGTGTGAAAAGTACTGGTAACTATTAAACTAGATGTTCCTAATTGGATTTTTCGCTAGTGTAACTATAAGTATGGTTTCTGAAGGCTTCTGTACAAAAAGTCAGAAAGTAGGCTTAGGGAGAACCGGGTGGTAATATGGAACATTACTGTGTTTTCAAAAAATGCTTTAATGTATCCAAAAACAAATAGGAAAGTACAAAGCAAGTTAAATAATTACAAAATCATTTACTCCAATGTATTTTATCGAAAAAATGCTTTTATAATAGAAAAATATGACCTCCATCAACAATATATACTCCAGCAGCTCTTTTTCGATATTCTCAGGAAGAATTGGCTTTCTACCTAGTGTTTTGTTTTTTTTTTTTCACAAATTGCTCCGAACGAATGTCTACTTGCAAAGAGAGAGTTCGGAGGACTTGGGTTCCACATTAAAAGCACCAATGGGGTCCTTATTTCACGCATCGCCATCTTGAATTAACTTATGTCTGTCAAGACCAAACTTTAAAAAACGTGAACATCACACAGATTAATATGTACAGTACCCCTAAGTCTCTGGAACGGAATACATGCACCAGTGAACCTACAACTACACGATTTATATTTTAGAAATAATTAAATTCACTTACCATTCAAAACTTTCGAATTTTGAAAATCACAAATATGCCGATTTACTACGGACAACCATTTCACTTCAGTTCAGAAATGGTTGTCCGTATGGTTTTCCCCTTGCTATGGATGTCTGTCTGGTGCAGTTCAACCATAATCCGCTACAGTTCGCCTTTATTATCAGTTTGAAATGGAGGGGTTCCATAATAGTCGACCCCCATAACACTGTTGATTTTTCCGTTTTATATGAATTCCATGTTGTACGAGTCATTTAGATTTTACAAATACGTAAGCCGTTCATAGCCCGGCAACTTATTTGTAAAATCTAAGTGACTTGTACAACATGGAATTCATATAAAACGGAAAAATCAACAGTGTTATAGGGGGTCGACTGGTACCATCTTTCCTCTACAAGCTTGGGACTTTTCTTTTTGGATAAACAATAATTTTGAGACATCTGTGTTTTTTGCTTAGGAAGCATAATTATATTGATTTATACAGAATGGCCATAAAGTTTCTAGGCATGTTAAAAAGTTATCTATACATACCCTTTACTCAAGAAATATTGATTTTTTCTGCATGTTTCTGGTCATTTCCATGTTGACACTTGGAAGTCATCACCATAAATCCAAAGACTTTTTTTGGACCAATACTCAACTCATTACGTTTGCCATTGCAACATCCTAACTGGAAGACATGACAGAATTTCACACACAAACTTAATGACCACTCTGTAGATGAGATATCATTGACAACAGTATAATTTAAATAACGATAAGAGAAACTATTTAATAAAAGTATATATTTATTTATATTGTAAATTTATATTTGAATTATGATTTACACTACAATGGATACATATATTTACAGAAACATTAAAATTAAAAACAACTTTCACCAAAGTGATTCCTTGATTCCAATTTAAATAAAACATAAATTAAGAATGTTTATGTTCATGAATTTTAACTAAATCTTTTAAAATTTGTTCTAAGATCAAATATATTGATGATAAAACCGGACTTGAAAATTTTATAAATAAGAAATAAAGTACTTCCTTATAATTTTACTTTTATTTATTTATTTTTTTTACAAAATAAGAATTTGTGATGATTTTATATCCAGATACTGATTTATGTTTTAAAACAGAAGTTTTATGTACAGAATTTCCATTATTATTATGTTTTTGGAGAAAATTCTTTTACATTTTTTTGAAAGGACTTGACTTGAAAATATTATGCTTTAACAGATCACGTAGGGTGAATTAAATCCTTATAGGGTGAAGAAATTAATAATAAAAATAAAAATAAGTGACAGTTATTTTTAAAAGATTCTTCTCAAAACCAGTGACATCTAAAGACATCTATATTTGAAACATTTAGAAAAAATTATATATATATCTATATATATTCATTATGTTCATCCTACTTGGTAATGTAACCTGTCTGATTATTGTTAATAATGTATCTGTGAACAAATTATTATTATAGTATAATATTATAAATCTCTCTCCAACTTATAGAAATAAACTTTAAAATTTTATTTTATTTTTTGGTAATTTATACAATTCTAAACAGCACAAAAATATTATTATTTTTTATTTTTAATTTCTTCCCTCACATATTAACCACTATTTCAGACAGGTGGATGAAACATATACAATATAATCCACATGCAAAAACTTAAAGTCAAACAATAAAAACATTTGAAGAAAAAGCTGCTACAATGATAATTTCTAGAGTTTTAAGAATTATTGTGGCCATAACATGTCACAACACAGCATTAAATCCAAGCAGACGTCATTCTTTTTTTTGGTGTATTTTTTTTTTAAATTACTTCTTGTTCTGGTTTTGTTTCAGTTTAATATAATATCCTTGCTCTGTACAAATACAAATAAATGAAATTCTAATAAACTTTTTCTTTTACATATTTTTTTTTGTGCATTCATTGTTTCTTGATTTCGGAACAATGTCGGTTCATCTGCGATGTTATAGATTCACTTGCCACAACTTCTGTAATTTTCGGAAAGTTTATGGCAGTAACTGAATCACAGTTCTGATAAAATCAGATTAGTATTTTGATGCAAGGTAAATCATGTGTTAGAAAAATGCTTTGTTTTGCCTTTTTTGCGATCGTGAGATAATTTTTCAATGTAAGCTTCTACTAAAGCTTTTATCTTCTTTGGAATAATGGATCCCGAACGATTATGACATACCTGCAAATTCAATAACAAAAATAAGATGATGTTCCAAGTTGTATTTTTAGAAGAAATTTCCTTGTTAACTACATATATGGAGTCTTCCAAGAGAATAGTACCATTTTAAATTATTGTAATTATATTAATTATTATCTGAGAACATTAATATACATTGAAACACTGGAAAACTGTCCAAGTTACACATTTGTCCATTACAATTTCTTAATATGTACACTCTATGTCACAGCATACATCCAACCGATACTCAAATTACACTACACTCACTACAGCATATCCGTTGTCACTCTTGTGGCAACTACAATTGTACAGATCCTGCATATTACTGGTGTTCATAAAGTTGGAATCTCTCATCATTATGCAACTGCAGAACAGAAAATGTCTTTTCTATTGTGGAGTTGCCAGTTTTGTTTACATTGTTTCCTAGAGATAGTAGACAATAACACATTTCAATGCAGCTGAGAGATGAAATATGGATAGTTACTCTATCAATAGATGTATGTACTGTACATCACATACTTCTCAGATAGTAATTCAAGATGGTACTAGTTATTTTGGAAGACTCTTTATGTGAAATAACATTAGAAATGAAATATCCATACAATTATATTAACACATTCTTATACTTTTATAGTGATAATAGGCAGAGATACAAACCACTAAAGATTTAAACCTTCTGAAACACCACTTACTTATTATTAACATAATTCTATATTATAAAAACCATTAAAAAAAATAATATACACAAGTGTTTTTATATTTAATACTGGCAATAATAATACACAATGTACTGTAAATTAAAATGTATAAAATTCAACATTTCTCCCTTATAACTTATTACAAGTTCACATTTGATCATATAATAAACTAAATTACAACTTCCCCAATAGACATTGAAAACAAACAAAAAATAAATTCTATGGCTTTTTCTTTCTTCCTCTCTTCTCAGGGTAGGTAACTTTTGAAAAAATTGTTGTCAACAGTTTTTGAATAGTTAGTTTCATCTAATGGTTATGTTTGCAACTAACTTTCAAGTATATTTACCAGGACATTTAAAATATGTTCATTATAAAAAGGAAAAAACGAAACCTATTTATGGGTAAATTAAAAATGTAAACAGTAAAATAAATTAAAAAAGCAAAGCTTATAGGAAAAACATATGACTCAGCAACACTAGCAATTTTAAAAATCATTTATTTAAATATATAATAGTGGAAAACAACAAATGCTGCATCGTCATATCTGCTGAGAAAAACTAATTCTTCATGAACATTTTCGACCTGTTCCACAAGTTATTTTCAAGTGTGAAATACAAGTTAATGATTAAGTTTACTTGAAAATAACTTGGTGGAAAACATTCGTAAAGACTTAAAGCTTTTCTCAGCAAATAAGGTGTTGGAGCATTTGTTAAATATATAAATTAGAAAATGACAATTATCAATAATTTAGAGATCTGGTCTCAATCCAAATGTTGTTCTTCAAATTACAGATGAGCTAATAATTAACTTGCTATTTACAATACAAGCAGATTTCAGTTATCACTACACAGATTTTTTGCCTACTGATCTTTTGCAAATGGCCAGATGAATGATCTATGTTGTAGTGCTCCGCGACTAAAAATATAGTTCCCTGTATAAGGTACTTCCATATCGTGACTGTGATTGGCTGCGCGAATTGCCCTTGGGTAAGGGAAGAACCCGGATGGAGGGAAGTTATAAAAAGGAGCACGTCCACGTGGAGAAGACCTTTTTGTTTTGTTCTGTCATTCTGAGATTTAGAGCGGTGATACTGAGATTCGATAAAGAAAGGACATTATGGACAGTTCCAAGAATAGAAAGAAGAAAAGGAAGGACTGCTTATAGGAACAACAGGATCAAAAATTGTAAAGAGGTACGAAAAAATATGGCAACTGTATGGATCATCCTGTAAATAACTGTGTAATTTTGTCTTCTACCCTCCATGGTAGATTAGTTTGTCATCACATGTGAAATATATTGTAAATTAAATTAATAGTGTCGGTCCGAATTGTGGTTTACTTATTGTGAAGTCCTCAGAGCAATTCATTATCGTTATACTAAGATATACTCCAGTATATCACAGACAGTACAATGTTTTGTCATCGTATTGTATAGTATAATCATATTTCATAACAAAGCATGGAATGTAATTACACTAGACATCTGAAATAATAAAAGTTCTTGAAAGAGAACTTTTATTATTGAAGATTAAGGTCACAGAATAGGTTCCCCAGTAGACCTAGAGCTCCCACCTTAATCGCTGCCACCTTAGCCGCTTGGTCATCTGGCCATTCTCAAAACACATTATGATCTTTAAATCAATCATATTAAGCTAAATAAACAGTACATGTAAATTATAAAAAAAAAATATCAATTATTGAAAATCATAATATTTAACTTGTAAAAAAAAGAAATTCTGCATACCTTAGGCACACATTTCCGTAATATATCTTTATATTCATCCTTATCTATCTCTCTTCTGTTATAGTATGGTTTTAATGCTAATTTAACTTCTTCAACCACTCTTTCTTGCCTATTTAGCTTCTTAAGATACTAAATAAATAAAAACAGATTAAAAATCTATGATGATGACAATCAAAAATATTTAAATAAACAATTCATTAATTTTATTATACTTATTTGTAAAACAGTTAAAAAATCAAAATTCTAGGTTATCAGTATAAATTTCCTACTCTGCCATTTTATATTAACATATATACAGAGCATGGTGTAAAGACTGGATAATCTGTTACCTGCAGATAGGGAACATCATGACTTACTAAACAATGCTTAATTTTCTGAACAAAGTGTCATAGTTTTCCAGTTATTGGACATTTTCTATTTTTTTGGAAAATGGACTCCCTCAATCACATTTTTCAATGCCATAGTCACGAATTAAGGATTTTTCCCAGTCTGTTTTTGAATACTAGTCTTGGATACATGTTCTATCAAACGTAAACTGCCATTTTAGTGTCATAGACTTGGTTTTTTCTAGAACAAACAAATATTCAAAATTTTTGTTTCATTTTTTTCAGTGTAAAAAAAAGTACTGTAATTATTAGTTAGTTTGTCACACAGGTTACAGTATGTTTTTTTTACACACACACAAAAAAAAGAAACAAAAATTTTGAATTATTTTTTGTTCTAAAAAAAAACCAAGTCTATGACACTAAAATAGCAGTTTACATTTGATAGAACATGTATCCAAGACTAGTATTCAAAAACAGACTGGGAAAAATCCTTGATTTGTGACCACAACATTGAAAAACGTGAACGAGGGTCCAATAACTCAATAACTATGACACTTTTACTAAACACAATGTTTAATTTTCTGAACAGTCACGATGTCCCCTAACCACAGGTAATGGATTATCCACTATTTACACCACATCCTGTATATGTAATTTTTAAACATTAATTTTAAAAAATTTGTCCTGTTAAGAATTTAAACTGTTAAGAAAACAAAGATTTATTCAATCTACAATGCTGACATTTTTGACATTTATTTATACAGAGCTAGAAATGTAACATGCATCTTTACTGGAACTGCAAAGTACATCCATTAACACAAATGACAAAAATCATTTTTGTTGCACAAGTTTGCCATTTGTTTGCTCAATTCTCTTGTGGACACATTTTGGTTAACACTCTTGTGAGAAGCCAAGGGCATAGAATTGTTTAACTCTAACTCTAATACTCTAATTGTTTAACTCTAATTCTATGTCACTTACTGACACACAATTGTGAGATTGGCTCACTTTTTCTTCGGAGGGCTTTTAATGAATTAAACTAAATAATGCAGAGAGAGATGATCTTGTAATCACCCTTCTCCTTGTCAGGACTCCTGACACCAGTTAATCAATTAAATCCGTGGATTAACACACGTAAACAAGGAATCTCAAGCTGGAGGGACGCAAGTACATGGAGTGAACATAGATATCAATTTCAATCATTGAAGAGACCATAATTAAAGTAACAAAACAAAATATTTAATGGAATCAAATAAAAATAACATTACAACCAAAAGAATTACAATTCATAGATTCTAATCCTAACTCGAGAGAGAAAATTCAACCATCTAACCTATCTAAACGCGAGAGAGAGAGTTCACATAAATCTCAATAGATTATACTACCTTCAGGTACCTTCATTAATTATAACAGTCTTCATCATATTCTATATGGCAATTTCTTCTTTTGATGCACTGAGTTATATCTTAAGGTGAATTCTGTCCTCTATGCGTTGATTAGTATGGCGAATGGACTTTCTGGGGCAACTATTTCTTAGGGAGAACTGTCCTATATCGTATGGAGAACTGCATTGAATAATATGGCAAAACTCACTACATTGTATGGAGAACACTTCAAATGGTGGACTCCCGGAATGCGGAAAAAATCTCTTTTTATATCGGCCTCCTCAGATGGCTAAATACAGTGTGCAAACATCCACATCTTAATCATCTTCAATTCTGCCAATAGAAAGGAAGTTCAACTTCCCTTCAGGAGGAAGTGAGTCACAACAGTTTCCTTTCTTTGTAAAATTTTTCTCTCAATATTTTGTGCAATAAATTATTTTTAAATTTTTATAATAATTAAAAATAAACAATCCCACAGATCTCACATTCTCGTCAGCAAGGCATTCTCCAGGTTTACATGATATGGTCATATTTTGGAACTCAAACTTGAACTCTCCTTTTCTTTTTTATAACACACCAAAATAAAATATCTTTGGCTTTCACCATGCGTATCATTGATTATTTGCTTGGAAAACTGCCTTGTAACATCTTCACTTTTTTCATGCGATCATGTTAATGTACAGAATTAAGTTGTATGCAATGACAAGATATCAGTGTACATTAATATTACCAATAACAAATGAATAAATTTAAATGTAAACATATATTAGCATTTGAAGCAATTTACCAAATACCAAACAATCTCTACAATAAATATCAAGTAAGAATATTTCTGGATTTCTGTTACAATGCTAGTAGTATACAGGGTGCATAATCAAGTCCTTATATGCTGATATGTGAGTGACACACATCATCAACACACAGTAACAAATGCAGCAGAAGACATAGGAACATGAGAAATACATATGTTATAAATAAACATATGAGAAATGAATGAACACACCAGAAATATACATTTTACTGTATGTGCTCAATGTTCACATTAGCATTTCATGACTTCTATTCACACTATTTATGTATGCAGAATATTCTTTCAAACTAAAATGGTCATGTTCTATAACTTTGTAATTGATTTTTCCCCATATCGAGATTCAAATGCTAATTTCCAAAATTTATTGCTTGGTGCTACAAGCCAATAATGCATAGTCATTTTACTAATGTTCATAACTAGCTATCTCCATTTGTTAGTGACATGGGTGTATAAGGACTTTACTATGAACCCTGTATACTCATAGACAATTAATATAAATTCATAATTTTCAATTATGAATTTATTTTAATTTTTCTGCTCAGACGAGTCTGAGCAGAAAAATTAAAAAAGCTAGAAACTAATTCTAAACTTTTATGTCATTCAAGAACTGTTTATTTGTAATATGGTGACACAAATGAATTAAAAATAATGATTAAAAGATTAATGTCTGATTAAATTACAAGGCATCTATCATGTTTGTATAGAGTATGGACAAAATTACATATATTATTAAGACAAATTAGATAAAACAGAATAAATAACTTTAGAGATTTAAATGAATACTTACCATGTATTTCTGTACTATCTATTAAAAACTATTTATTAGAGTAAGAATTAATACTGTATAGGGAAAATAAACATACAATTATAGGGAAAATAAACATACAATTAAATTAATTAAGATACCATAACAAATATAATTAAATAATACAGATTATCATTGTCTTCTTACAAATATGCAGGATGAGTCAGGAATAAGTTTTCATAGAGAACATTGCCAGAAAGTGTACTGCTTATCCCATCAAGGACTTACATTACAAGGAATTAGTTGTGAAAAATTAATTCAAACAACACAAATTATTAAAAATATTTTTAAAACACTTTACTGAAAATGGATTATAGATTGCATTTTGTGTAGGAAAAGTTGCAAAGACAAAATAATAGAAAACAATGACAAAACAGAGCAAACCGAAGTCTGAACAGGTCCAACATCTACCCTCTACCCCTAAATGGTAAAAAACCAGAAAGAAAAACATACAGGCGATGGAAGAATGGTTGAAGGACCTAACCTAACTAACACCACTGAAGGAAACCAAAAGGAGAGTAGTGAGACCAAAAGGAAGTTTGTTGAATAGTATGTAGTAGTCATTCACATATGTTATTTGTATTAGGCTGAAAACTCATCAGCCTGTGAATGTATAACATTAAAATTAATACACAAATAAAAATGACTACATGAAACAAAAAAGGGACAAGATAGGTATATTAAATATGTAAACTTGCTGTTTAAATCTAACACTTGGGCCAGTTAGAATACTTTTAGACAAATAATTACAAGGAAAAACAATAAAAGATGAACAAATGTATTTGGTTAGCAAGGCCAGAATTTCAAATGATTTTGTGTGTAAAAAATTGAACAGAATGCCACTATTCTATCAAGGTTAGCCTCAGCCAGCTACTGGATATCTGTGATTCAATATGGATAGAACATGGATTTATAAATGAAAACAATGAAAGTCTGACTCAATTTGTCCTTCACACAACTGAATACAGCTGCTCAAAGGCTAGATTATCATTCAATTTTACCATAATGGTAATAAAAATACCAATCTTCATTTTGTTACAAGACACTGTTAATTTGGTTTATTTAAATTATTCACAAAAGTTTGATAAATTTTTAAGATTGAAACATGGAAAGTCTTAAACTGATTTGAGTGGACCTTGCAAAATGCTTTGCATATATAGCGTACACTATTGCTTTATATAACATACAAAAGAACAAATTATACACTTTCTGCTATGGCAAACACCATTTTTAACTTTAAAGCCTAACCTAAGGTCTACGCGATGATAATTTAACTTAAACATTTGTTTAAGATAAATCTTATCCCAATATTTAAATCAACTGTGTATTCCCACAAACAATTTATATTAACTTGAAAATCTTACTCAGTTTTTCACAGGCATTTTTCAAGTATAATATGACCTAGTAGTAAACTAATAATAAAATTTACTGTAATCAATGATGGTACTGAAGAATATCAACTGCAGAAATAGTAGAGTATCTTTTCAGTTTTAACAGAACCTAAAAATTTATCAAGCTTATGAAAATAAAACAACAGTGCCAAAAACAAAAATCTCAACTCCCAGGATATCCTATCTTTCACCTTCCAGAATACCCCTGAAATTGTTCACTCAGTTATCAAATGCTCCTGATGAAAGAAATGATGTGCTGCTTTCTTCAATATTTTCCTAAGAAAACTTATTCTTGACCTGCTCCATATAACAAAATTTTAATATAATTTTGTACAAATTCAAAGTTTTCAGTAAAATCCCGAGAATATAAAAGTTTTGTAGAAAATATTGAAGCTTAAATAAGATAAAAATATATTAAACAGAAATATTTCATATATAATTACTGAATTTTATAACATTTTTCCATACAAAGAACAGGATATGTTAAGCAGTTATACACTGAAGAGCAATTGAATTAGGGATATCTGTCTAGTAGAATGTAGCACTACCTTTTGCCTTGATGACAGTTGCAATTTGTCTTGCATAGACTCCTCGAGACACTGGAAACAATGGGAAGCCATAGGTATCTATGAGTCCTGAATAATTTCCCACAAATCACAAAGATTAGATGGAAGGTGGTCAGAGCCTTGAACATCTCTCTCAATTGCATCCCAGATCTGCTTGATTGGATTGAGGTCAGGTGGCCATGATGGCCAGAAAAGGAATGTTCATCCAATCATTCCAATACAATTTGGGAGCGATGTCACAGTGCATTGTCTTGTTGAAAGACAATCTCTGTAGTGGGCTGTCAAGAATGAACAAACAGGAGCAGATGGTTGTCAAGGATATCCCAGTAATGTTCACCTGTCAGCGACGCTGTCACATATACAGTACCAGGGGTCCATTTCAGTCCATTTGAACGGTCTCCACACAAGAATGCCATCTCCGCCAGCTTGAAGAGTACTCTGCTGGCAGGAAGGATCCATCACTTCATATGGTTTATGGCATACATGTACTTTGCCATCGGCATGTACCAAAGTGAATCTCGACTCATCACTCCAGGCAACATTTTTTCACATCTCGATGGTCCATAGATGATGTTCCCGTGCTTATGCTAATTGTTGCACCCTGTTTTGTGCGGTCAGCAGGGGGACTCTCGTAGGACAATGACTCTTGTACCCCATTGAGAGGAGATGGTTTTGTATGGTGTGGCAGCTTACACCTTGCTGTGCACCAGTGTTAAATCGACGGGTGATCTGTTGCACTGTGGCCTGTCTATCCACTGTTACAATGTGGGCTAGCCACTGACAACCTTGCTTATCCACACGCTGTTGTCCGCAGCAGTTGACCCTGGCAGTGATGGTTTTACTGGAATCGATGTACTCACAGTACACCCTCGACACAGTGGTGTGTGAAAATCCCAGTGTTTCCACTACTTCCGAAATGGAGTGACCCATTTGTCGGGCCCTGACAATTTGTTCACTATCAAATGTGCTTAGATCTTTACTCTTACCCATTTTACTTCTGACTATTACTGATACTGTTAGCAGCACTCCTTATCTTGTCAAACTGCTGCTTACGTCATCTGCAAATCACTTTCATGCTTATGCACAACTCAAAATTTGAATAACGCAAGCTATTCCTAATTCAATTGCTCTTCAGTGTACATTAAACTACTAATTCTACATACTAATTCTTTATGTATAAGCTTTTTCACATGATATAATCAATGTTTAAAGACCCTGAATATTAGAATAAATGAGAAATATAAGCATGTCAGAAAATCTTTATAACATTCAAGATTTTCAGAATTATTATTACTATTTCTTCACTAATTGTCACTTCATTATAAAAACTAACCAATGATCACATGCAACAGTGGCAATTTTACATATCATCTAGTTTCGCACAGGAATTTTCTATCATACTGACTTACTTAGATGTGTTTCCATGATAAAACATTTTCCAATTATCATAGACTTACAAAAAACTGCTGCTTCATACATGTGATCACATGCAATTTTTCTTTGTCGTCACACAATCATCATAAGGTGAAAATTTTCTGTTCTGTCATTTTTAATGACAGAACAGAATAATGACATGGAGATATCTTATTATTGTCACAACAGATAGGCATGATGTCATGAATGTTTTGTTGCTTAAAAAAAACCTCTCGTTTGATGAAAACCCCTTAAAATGATGAAAATGTTTGTGTTCATTAAATTTTGTGCTGAAGTAAGTATAAAAGGTGTGAAGTGTTTTTAATCAACAGTTTCAGCTTATGAGAGAGTGTTTAGATTGGAAGCCTCAAACTCAAACACAGCAAAGAGCCTGTCAAATACATGTATATCAGATATAGGGCATATTCAATATTATTTGATAAACCAAAACATACTACAATTAAAAACAGGCTCTAACAAAGACCCTTTTTAAAATTTTTTTTTTAGATTTTTAGATAGTTTTTTAGAAAAGAAATCATTGAGGCCACGGGTTAGATATGAAGCCTTAATGGGCAGTATCCAGCCCCTGGGCCGCCAGTTTGCTACCCCTACTTTAGATGTTTCTTGCAATGTGTGAGATAATGACATGGCAGTCTGCGACCTTGAATGCTTGTCTTTGTACGATAATCTGAGGTTATCTTATGAGAACAATTTAAATGTTTTCAGGCTTTATTTTGTGCCAGAAAAACCATTTTCTGGTCCTTCTGAGAAACACCTCAATCTACCAATCATTTACTTCCAGCTGAACTTCAAATTAATCCATTCCATCACAGTATAACAGCTCCTTATGAGAGTCCAATCAAGGATATTGTTCTGTAAACATAACAATATCTCAAACTAAACAATGTATGACACTATAATTTGGCATGCATAGAGAATACACATTATATGATTTTTTAAAACCATGAAATTTGAGAAATGGCAATTATGTACAGCATAATTACATGTGAAAATTCAGTGAGAATTGCTGCCTTATTTATGTACATGTGTTAAAAAGTAAGTGCATGTGATCATAGATTAATTTAATAACAAATATTATAATATGTAAATGAATATTTATATTTACCTTTTCTTTGACTTGCATCTCAACTGCAGAACTAGGAATTTCATCCAAGATCTTCAACTGATCTTCATTCATTTTAAATGATCCTTTCTCAGATTTAAGAGAATTCTTTTTAACTGAAAAATTGCGTACCACACGTATTTTTTCAGTCGATCGTTTTTTAGTGTCTGATTTAGCATTTTTATTTTTTGGAGGACTTTCACCTAAAATGTGTTTAGCCCAAACTTCTTCCAATAAGCTTTGTCCACAAGACACGACACTTTTAGATGATTTATTGGTACTTGTAACTTTACCATTATTACTTGGTTTATCACTTTTACCCTTTGTCCCACTTTTTACACTTTCGGTAAGAAATTTAGATGATGAATGACTCCTTGATTTTGGACTTGAAATACTACTATGATCATCTTTTGCATTTGGTGAAGGGGTGCTTTTATCACCACTTGAAGCTAATGACATGTCATCAAAATCAAGGGGAGAATTTGTAGGTGAAAAAGGAGATTCCACTTCCATATCCACTACTTCTGTAACGTCACGAGGTGCTGATGATTGATTACTCATATCTGAATTCAATGATTTTAAGGAAGTTTCAGATGATGAACTCACTATCCTATTGACTATAGAATTATTGTTCTTAGATGAAACAGTTTTGGTTTGTGAAATTGCTAACACATTTTCAGATACTGTTGAACTTATTGTTAAATTTGATGTTGTTATTGATGACTGTACAGGGAGGGTTGCAGAACTTTGGATTGGTGAATGCAAATTTGCAGGTACTTGATTAGCATTAACAGAAAGTGTCTGTTCTTGAGGAAGTTGAGTTGTTGTCACAGGAACAAATAATTGATTTCTAATAGGTACAGCATTAATCATAGGATGAGGAGCAGGATGAGCAATATTATTATTGAGTGAATTTTGGTTTGTGTTTCCAAGCAAAGGTGGAGGCGGTGGAGGTGGAGGTGGCGGATGATGAATATTTGTCAGAGCAATTTGATGAGGAAGATTAAGATTTGGTAATGGAGGTGGGGGTAAATTTGGTATCATAGGGCCAGTATTTGAGGGCCCTCTAGGTCCCATAACAGGTGGCATTGGTCCTGTTGGTGGTAGACAAGTCATTTGTGTTTGTAAATTGGGTGGACCCATTATTCTGGGAGGCATTGGTGGAGGAATAAAATTCCCACGAAGAGCTGGTGGCATAAGAATAGTGGGAGGAGGAGTCGGCCAATTAAATGGCTGCATTGATGGTTGGGATACACCCATGTTACCAAATGGAGCCCTGGGAACTGAATGAATTATATAATTTGGTGGTGGTACATGAACATTTGGAAGAGTTGGAGCTGAAACAGTATTTACATTAGATGTCTGATCAAATGAAGTTTGAGGAAATGGTGTTATATTTGTTGTTTTCTCATCAATTAACTTCAACTCTTGATCATTTTTGTCAGGAAGAGGAATATCAAGTGTGGATGATTTTGAATCCTTATTCCCAGTTGATTTTGGACTTTCAGTTGGATCAAATGGATCATAACTTTCTTTATCTGGAGGCGAGGATGGAGGAGATGCAGACATTAAACTAAAATCTGATACTGTACTCAGATTTTTATGTTCTTCAGTATTTTGAAAAGTATTATCTATTTTGGAGTGAAGCCTTTCATTATCTTCATTTTCCCAAAATCTTTCTCTTTCTCTGGCTTTATCATCATCAAGTTTTCGTTGCTTATCATCCCATTCAATTGGAGTACCTTTACGTTTTGCAGGTAAACCAATGTTTCTTGCTGATCCATAACTTGATAAATCTTCATGCATAGTTTGGTTATTCATTATTTGTTCTCTCATCATTGGTGGTTCTCTAATTAATGGTTCTTTTACCATTGGAAGATCTTTAATCAATGGTTCCCTCATCATTGGTGGATCTTTGATTAATGGTTCCCTCATCATTGGTGGATCTTTAATCAATGGTTCCTTAAGTGTAGATGAATTATCAGAACAAGACTGATCAAAATTTTTGTTTACATAATTCTCATTCTGATTCTTTTTGTTCTCAAAATTTCTTGTCTGTCGATCTGGAGATTGTCTTTTAAGTTCTAAATTATCATATGAAAATTTTTTACGATAATTTCTATTTAACATGTCTCTGTGAATATTTCCTCTTTCATTAACATTGTTTTTACCACCAAAATTTCTTTCTTTGTCATACATATATTCTCTCAAAGGACTTCGACCCGATTTTCCTCTTGAATAGTCATCTTTTCTTTCTCTGAAATTGTTATTTCTATTATCTCTAGGATATTTTTTTCTATGATCATTCATGTAATTTGAATTTTCATAGTCATTTCTTTGATCAGACCTCCACGGTCTTTCCCATCTATCATACTCTCTTCTCTCATTATGCCTTCTTTCTCTGAAGTGTTCATTATCTCTTTCTCTCCAATTTCTATTCTCTCTTGAATTCCTATCATCAGACCATCTATAATGATCTGACTTTGATCTTGAATTATCTTCTCTATGAAATGATTTCTCTGACTGTGATTTATTTTCAACCATATTCTTATCACGATTAAACCGAGAACGCTTATTCCATTTTGTATCCGATGAACCATCATCAAGTTTGCTTAACACACTCGACCGTCCAGTATCATTTGCCGTTTCTTCATTTTGTTTATCATCTAATTTTTCTCTTTTTATCTTTGGTATTTTTGGTAATATTGATATATTTACTCTAGGAGTTACATCAGCAAAATCATCTGGAATTTCATCAGCCTGTTCTTCTTTTTTATCTTCAATTTGATCATTATCATCGATATCATCATCTAATTTGTCATTTAAGTATGTTTCATTTTTATGGCTAGTTAAATAACTTGGCCTTTCTATACTACCCCTAACAAAACTAATTTTCTCTGAAGATCTCTTATCTGATGCATCTAATTTCTCATTTCTATCAGAAGACAATTTATCAGATTTCTCAATAATGCTCATTTCATTTTCATCAGATTCCATCTGACCTTTCATATTTGCATTTTCTTTGTTGCTATTATTTTCATCTTTGGAGTCTTTCTTACCTGAACCCCAAGCAGAATCAGGATTGTCATCATCTTCAATATCACTATACAGTTCAATCAGATTTAATGCTCCGAACAACTTTCCAGAATTCTTCTTTTTAGGTTTTGCTTGGTTATTCTTAGTACATGACTGCTTTGTATAACCATCTGTAGATTCTTCAAACTTTTCATTATCAGAATCAAAAAGATCTATGCTAGACGAGGCAACAGATGAAGAAGACTGTCCATAATTACAAGAATTATTTTTATTGGATACATTAGAACTTTGAGGATTTTCATTGTTGATTTTCTCTTGATTATTAGAAGATTCTGATTCTTGCTTCTCTTCTAAACCATCAGTTGGCTTATTTACATTAAGAACACCATCTCTTCCTATATAAATATTACTAGATTTATAATACAAATATGTTTGTTCTTGCATAATATTTCCTAAAATATCAATGTTTTCTCTTGAGACTAATGGTGTTAATGCAATATTTCTAAAAATAAATAAAATAAACAAATATTAATCATCAAAATATAATATATTTATAATATCATACAAAATATTCTAAAGAAATGAATAAGTTTTATTTCAGAACATACCTTACATTATCATAAAACCATAAAGAAAGAGTTCACTTATTGTGATTTATATTCTATTGACTTTTAATAAAATAATAAAACAAATATTTTTAATTTCTAAATGAAATTATTATATATATATATATATGTAATTTTCTAATTTCTTACAAAGTTTTCCTATCAAGAAAATTGGATGGAAATAAATTCAAAGATAATGGAAGGAAATTTTAATTTGACTATGACATTTGAAAGTGGACAGCACCTAATTCTTCTTCATGCAGATAAACAGTAGAATTGGACTCAGATAGAAATATTAAATAAATAATAACGATGAAAATTAATCTAATTCTTCTAAAAGTAAGGAAAATTCTTCTGTTGTAAAATCACCTTTCACGTATAAGAAATAATCTTTGAGAAATTTTATTAAGAGATATTGACTTAAATTGGCTGATAAAATGCATTGCTATCACTTCAATAATACACTGCTGGCCATTAAAATTGCAACACCAGGAAGGAATGGTCGTATGAATGTCAAAATCATATGAAAGGAAGAAGAGGTTGGGATATGCAAATGATTAGTATTTCAGTGCATTTAGACAATGCAGGAGGGACAAATACATCTGAAGCACTGCATAAAAGAAAAGTTGTGCAGTGGATTTCTCATTCAGAAATTGCTTTGTAAGGTCGGGGTTTCATCAGAATATCATGTTATGCCTCGAATAAGAAGAAGAAATGCTTACCAGCAAGTGTTGGAATTCGATAGAGGCAGGATCATTGCCTATTGAGAGTGTGCATTATCGTTCCGTGATATTGCCACTCACACTGGTCAAAATCCAACCACTGTCATGCGAATGTGGAATCGGTGGGCTGCTGAGGGTCTTACTGAACAGCATGCAGGAGCTCAATGCCCTCCCATGACTAACGCCCAAGAGGACAGACATATTGTGAGGTCAGCCATGCAAAACTGTACAACCACATCACAGACCATTAGTCAGGAAATGAGCTTGTTTGCAGCACATCCAGTATCTGCTCATACAGTGCGACAATGTTTGCAGCAGCGTGGGCTGTCAGCACAGTGACCATTACTTTGGCTTCCCTTGACAATGCAGCATAGAGAGAGATGGTGACTCTGGTGCGCCCAACGACAAAACTAGATACAGGAGTAGCACAATGTCATCTTTTCAGACGAGTCCCGGTTCTGCATGCAACATTCTGATGGCCATATACGTGTCTGGAGGCTTCGAGCAGACCACTCGTCGCCTGCTTGCATTTGATATTAGCTTAGGGGCCCTGCACCTGGTGTGATAATATGGGCAGCCATTGGGTACACGACATGCACATCTCTAGTTTGAATCGATGGTAATTTGAATGCAGATCGGTACATTTCTGACATCTTACATCCAGTGGTTGTGCTCTATCTTCGAGGCCTGCAAAATGCCATCTTCCAACAAGATAATGCAAGACCTCATGTTGCACGTCATGTTCTGACCTTCCTCGATACAGAAGATATTCAATTGTTGCCCTGAGTTGCACAGTCTCCAGATCTCTCACTAATTGAAAACATCTGGTCATGGGTTGCTGAGAGACTGGCCTGCCACCCCTCTCCTGCTAATACAGTTGATGAAGCATGGCATAGACTTGAAGCAGCATGGAATGAGTTGCCTGTTTCTGTCATCCAAGCCCAGTTCGACTTCATGCTTAAATGGATAAGGGCCGTTTTAGCCGCTGGGGGTGGCAAGTGTGTCTACTAATTTCGTGCCCCTGTAAACTCCCAAACTGCTTGCAAATTTAATCATTTTATCTTTATGCCATACTGTTTATGTACGATAAATATCTTTTTTTTTTATTTGCTTTCCTTCTTAGTGTCGCAATTTTAATGGCCAGCAGTATACTAACGATATAAGTTTATTTCACTTTGAATTTTCCTATCACTGTTGTAATCATACATATTGTTAGAATTAGCAAGACCAAAACAAAAGTTAAAACACACTTATAAAAGTATATCTGCATTTTATGCCTTCAAAAAGCATTTTGAAAATTGTGTTTCTTAGATTTTAATGTAAACACAATGATTAACTATATTTAAAGAAATTTTTTTTTTTTCAAAAGACAAAAGTTACATGTTTTGATATATCTAAAGTTTAGTATTTTAAAGTAATAACATTTAAAGCCAAACAATTACATAATTAAATCAGGCTATATTACCTAATCAGTAATATAGCCCAATTTAATCTAATTATTGGATTTAATATAATTATCAGGTTTTGAGTTGTTTATACAGCATTTTCTAAGAAGATAAAATGTAACATTAAGAGAAAATATAAAAAAAGTACTACCATACCTTCTAAAAGAATTTGAAATATCAGCCATTTTTGTATTGTGTGCAGAAATTAGTTGATCTCTTACTCTAGGATACAGTGCTACTAATCCACCATCACCATCATTTTCAAAACTAAAAATAGAAAATATCTATATTAACACAGTTTAATTAAAAATAGAAAAGTGCTCCAAACTTAATTTTTATAATTATAAATTTTAATTAAAAAAAATTTCATTTTTCGTTTCATTATGATATGTATGTTTTTAATTAACTCTTTCTGCCCTGTAGGCACTAAAAGGCACTTTTAGTCATACCCATTATTGGTCAGGTCCACAATGTGGCGATTGGATGATGAGAGATGGGAACTGACATATCCAGGACAGATTATCCATTAATTCCAGAGGATCTGCTTTCTGGATTCAATGCCAGGTCCCTTAAAAATATAGACCAATGCCTGAACTATCTCAGCCTTGCAGCTATCTACATAAATGTATTTGCATTTCTTAATAATTTTAAAGTATAACAATTTAATACGAATAATTATATAAGTTGTATTTAAAAAGTGAGTACTATAACTCTAAAAATTTCTATTTTTATCACATTCTATACATGTTAAACTATTTTTATACATAGTTCTCAATTACTGAGATTCGTTATAGCGAAACACAAGTTTTATACACCATCTTCATATAATGCAGCTGCATGTAATTTTAGTCACTTCTGCACTGCATCTTTTAGGTCAAAATCATCATCAAAATGCTGAAGAACTAGGAGTTCCTTCAGGTTTATGTAAGACTAGGTAAAAGTTCAAAGACATGAAATGCTAAGCCATACACTGTTGCTCATACTCAAAACTGTCACCTAATTTGGATGGAAAAATCATCTCAAAAGTCAGCTTTCTTCTTACACCCAAAAAATGCAAAGTCCAGTGTAGAAGAGACTAACATTGCAGGTGACAACATTCTATGAAGAGCTTGGTTTAGGCTCTTCATAGAATGTTGCCATCAATAATGGAGACAACTAGATGGGAAAAGTAGCTTAAAATGTATAGCATGTAGTTAAAAATAATATAATTTCTGAATATATTCATACAGTAGAACCCCCTATAACACGGGTTCCTATAGTTTGGATCCCTATATCACAGCGAAAAAATTGCAATAGTATTTGTACAAACATGCTAAAAAACTCCTATAATTCGGTAAAATGTCATCGCCGACTCGTGTCGCGACAGGTTTGATAGAATCTGGACCAACAGTGGATGGGCAGCCAAACTACTTTCCGCCGTCCAGCACCACGCTACAGAGAGTTTAGGCGGGTAAGTTGAGTTTACTATCGTCTGTACAGTATATAAATTAGGTACTTAAATTAAACAAAATTAACAAATTAATTAATATTAATATTAAATATCAATAAAATTAATAAATTAAACAAAAGTTTAATACAGTACTGTAATTTTATAATTTTTACATTATCTAAAATTTTGTCTTTAGTCATCATGACCTCTGCCATGGAGAAGAATTCTAAGAGCAGGAAATGTATATACCTTGAAGAAAAAGTTAAAATTTTGGATCGGTTAAAATCTGGTGAGAAAGTAATAGTCATTGCTAAAGATTTAAAATTAAACGAGGCAACAATTTGATCAATAAAAAAAAAAAATGAAAACAAAATAAGGACTAGAATTTCCTCTGGATTTTTAAGCTATGAAATAGCACAACCAATATTTAAAAGAGGATGTCATTGGTCCCAATTATAGATAGCTCCGACAGTGAATAAATGTAAAAAAAAAAAAAGTGTAACTGCTTCTTTCATTTAAAAATGTTTTGTTATTCATTTTGCATTAATTTCAATATTTGTTTGTTTTGAAGAGAAAATATATTTTAACTCTTACATATTAAATATTTATTTTACATCTTTGTTAAGTATCTGTATAAGTGTATGTTTATGCATAAGTAAACTGTATGTGAGCTGCTCATTTGCCAAAACGATAAGTTCATAAAAGAAAAGGTAGAAAATATGTATTGATAAATCTTTATACATTTCTTGTGAAAAAAACATTTCTTATTCAACGGCCATAAAAATTATTTTTATTAATGATGTCTCCAAAGTTCAGCAAATTTTTTGCAGAAAAATAACTTATCAGAAAACTTTCGTCATTGCTTAAGCTTGTTTTTGTTGTTAAGCACCGCTCCGCGACGAAAATAAGCTTAAGCAACGACGTCGTCGAACGGTACAGACTCGGTAAGTAATCCTACAATTTCTTGTCTATAGCATAGTTTATATGGATTATTCCCAAAAAATTATACATATTTTGGAAATGTTGTGTCAAATTAGTCTAGAATCGATTAATTTTATGGAAGAAAACCTTTCAAACAGCTGTAGTCCCTAAACTGCACACATGTCGGACTGTGAATGGCTCATTTATTTAAGTGACTCATACAACACGAAAATCACATAACATGGAACGTATGTACCATGTTATGGGGAGGTCTACTGTATTTATGAAATAATGAAAACAAATCTGCACTGCATATAAACAGTACAAAACACTATAATTAAGATTATATTTACAACGAAATACCAAAATGTAGCAATTTTCCATTTTGCTTAACTGCTTAACAGATGATAATTATCTATAATCGATTATTTTGTGAAATGTGTTATGTGAGAATTACTGGAAACTAAGCCATTACTTAAAACTAATGTATGCAAGATTCAATATAAAATTGATGTAGGTAAATACTCAAAAATTAAAATTTTTAAGTTTTTAGTCAAACTTTTTCAATGCATTAAAAGATTTATGACAAATACATTATCTAGCATCTGCATTTAGTTTGTATCGCTGAAGCAATAAGAAATGCAATAGATAATTATTTATTAAATATAAATTCCTATTTTATAAAAAAAATACTGTAAGTTTCTCATAGGACAAGAAAGTCCTATGAGAAACTTACAGTATTTTTTTTATAAAATAGGAATTTAAAATAGGAAACCTTTAAGTGAAAGTTCATTGTCATCCATTCCTGCTGATACCTAGAGAGTATACAGGTTAGGTATTATAAATTTAAATCATCCCAAATCAACCTAGTAATTAATCTACATAGTTATATTATTCAAACTAATGAATCAGGAAGTGAAGATTAGATGAAAATCTGGAAAGTATAACTGGTAACACAACTGCACCATACTGTTAAGTGCAGGTTTAAATCCTGATCTTTTCTTCCACATTAGTCTAAATTATTAAATTTATTTCTTAAATGAAATAAATTATTATATTTAAATTAGTACAAGTAATTTGGATTAAAGATTGCAGACTACTATCTTTAATTCAAATTACTTTGCATCTAAGTTAATATCTAGCCCAATAAAATCTGGCTTCAGATATTTGGTAATCATTATAAATTTAACACGAGTATTTTAAATTAATAAAAATATATGAAAACTCAAAAATGAAATATGTTGTTTACTCAATTCAAAAGCAGTACAATAATCTTTCATAAATGTAACAGTTAACAGCAATGTGAATTCAATAATAGATGCATTCGTGTTTGTTTAGTTATGGCAACACAACACTTGGATGATCTNAATAAAATCTGGCTTCAGATATTTGGTAATCATTATAAATTTAACACGAGTATTTTAAATTAATAAAAATATATGTTATTAATAAATGTCAAATTTCTTCAGTACTTACTCTTCAGTTATCATATCCAAATCATTTCTATTCCCGAAAAGGGAAACAGTAGAAATTCCATTATTAAACTGCTGTATATTTGAAACACAAGAAGAAGAAGAAGGCTTCTTTATCCGAGGTAATAAATGACCTGGGAGAGGTTTTTGTATTCCTAGCTTTTCTGCAATTCTTTTTCGTATTGTTGGTGCAGCTAATGGACGAGCAGCAGCAATTGATCGTTTTGTCTAAAAAATTAAATTAATTACTTAAAAGTTAATTTTTTAAAATTTATATGTTCATATATTAATGTAATACAGGGATAAAAAATGTCATTATTAGTTTGAATTTAAATAATATGCTTTGGACATGATGGAAAAAATATTTAATGTTGTAGTTAACATTTAAAATTGATAATTAAATTAATTATTTTCAGATCTAAATATTTCAAATATAATAATTAATGATGCAATGAATATTCGGTTACTATTTGGCTGAATACTGAATACCTAAAAACAGGAGTAAGAAATAACAAAAACACAGTAAATTAATCATTTTGATAACTTTCATTAATGGTAACATACATTTCAAGTTTGAGAAAGCACAATTTTTTGCTTATTTATGTAAAATATCAAAAGAAAGTAAAATAACTAGGTTATTTTTTTAAGAGAGAAAAAAAAATTTAACAAATCAAATGAAAACTACCTACTTATTATGTAGTTTAATCATCTATATACTCACATATAAAAGAACAAGTCCTGATAGGATAATTAATGCAGAGCCAAAACTACTGGTGCTAGAAACTTAAAAATTTGAGGGTGTGTTTCTTTTGTAAAGTTTAGGCATGCTAAGAAAAGATTTTATGAAATTCAACCCCTTTAGGGTTGAATTTCATAAAAGTTGTATGAAAATTTTTAGTGCGTGGGCACATTAGATCGAAACTTAGGTTATAAAAGGTGAAAAAAATAATAATTAATGATCTGTAAAGCGTTTTTATGAAATCATCCCTTATTATAAACTTGAAAATTAAATTAGCTTTTTTATTTTATTGTACAAAATTATTTATCATAACTGAAGTTCCAGACAGCTTGGTAGCCTGAACGGCCCCAGGCTTTAACCCGTGCATGCTAAGTGACTTTCATTACAAGCATTTAGTTTTCCGAAGTCTATGAGAACAATTATTTTGTATTGTCGGCCACAAATTTCGTGCCATTAAGCTGCCTTGACTTGTTCGATTATGTTATCAACTCAATTTCATATTTATTTTCACATTTTCACTTCGCGGTCCTTCTCTGTTCTTTTTCCGTTATTTACACAAGTAGATCATTTCATTGTTATCCACATTTGATATAATCACTTATTACATACTGCCATGATGCTCATGTCTGTCTGAATTAGAATCTAGAACTGTCAAGAATTAATGCAATTGGCGAAGTGTAGTGACAGCGGGCCAATAGAGAACAGGGTGTGCAATCCTTGCCATAATGCGGTTTGAGTGCCAATTTTCATACAGGCATTAATCAAGCCAAATTGTTTGGCCGAAAATATTCAACCACACTCCTGACCAAATATTTGGTATTCGGCCTGAGGCTAAATATACTATTCGTTGCATCACTAATAATAATAAAAAAATTTAATTAAAATTAAGTAAATGAAAGAAAAGAGTAGTGCTGATTCATAACTTATGTATAAAATAAATTTACTATTCAACATAAAAAAAATAAGTAAATCAATTTAATAATTTTTGATATTTAAAAAGGAAAACATAAATTACCTTTGTTCTCCTCCTTTTCTTTACTTTTCTTTTAGTTCTTTTACACTTTCGTTTTGTGCTTTTACATTTATCTTTCACTGTTTTATAATTTTTTCCACTCTGTTTCTTTGTTGATTTTCTGGTTCTCTTCCTTCTTCTGGCATACTTTCGTTTTCTTGTCCGTCTACGACGAGTCTACAGTAATAATCAATTATATATAAACTCCTCATCAGTGATTAAACTAAATATTATTAAATAACAAAAACTAAATATTATTATTATTATTATTATTTGAAAAATTTTGAATTATCAATAATATGAGAAATTTTTAAAATTTGTATACAGAAATTAATTTCATACATATTAAACATATAATATAACTGTAGCAGTGTTTGAAAGTTATGATTTTAATAAGGATTATTTGAAAATTTTTGGAAGGATCAAGAGGTTTTGGTCACCATAGTGACAAACAGTCACATAGGTTAAATGTTTATGTAAAATTAAAATATAAATTTTGAAATGATTTTATAATGTTCAGATCAAAATTACAAAAACTGGATGCTTAGTGAATTTCATGACCATAATAAATAAATAAAAAAGGCAGACATTAGAGACAGATTAGTATTCAATGTATGTTGTGTCAGTTGTGTTGCACATGCTCTTTACTCATCCCTTTAAATGCTTTTATCCATCAAAATCTCTTCCAAATTCTATCGTTGTATCACGCATGCTCCATGCTCATCTCTTTAAATGCTGTTATCCAGCAAAATCTGCCATGCTATCGATAGGGCCATTTCCTCTCTATAATTAATACACGTGCCGTTTCTTCCCGCCTTAAATATCTCCATGGCTTCTAGCCATTTTAGTTGTTGTGGGTTGGAGTTGGTTTTAATGATTTTTGCCACGCGCAGGTCCGCCGTTATTTCCTGTTCTGAAGCGTATGTTGCCAGGGCCGTTGTGTATCTACCGTGCTGTATATCTAACTCATGTTCTTTTAACCTCATTTTTAACGAACGTTTCGTGGAACCAATATATGTCAGTTGTCTATCACATCTTTTGTCTTCTAGTGGTACTGCGTATACCCCTGGGAGTCTTTCAGGGTTTGGCCGGTCTTTGCCATTAATTAGTATCCTGAAGACAGTTTGACACATTCTGTATGCTATATTTATGCTCCTTCTTTTGGCTATCATGTTGTAGACTGATTTCAGTATTGGATTACATGTGATAGGTATCCTCTCTTTTTCTTGATTAGGTATATTCAACGGTGGCCCTGTCTGATCAATGGCTTTTTGGGATACGTCATACCTTTTAGATGAATTTTTGACTAGAGCGGATAGACAACTGACATATATTGGTTCCACAAAGCATTCGTTAAAAATGAGGTTAAAAGAACATGAGTTAGATATACAGCACGGTAGATACACAACGGCCCTGGCAACATACGCTTCAGAACAGGAAATAACGGCGGACCTGCGCGTGGCAAAAATCATTAAAACCAACTCCAACCCACAACAACTAAAATGACTAGAAGCCATGGAGATATTTAAGGTGGGAAGAAACGGCACGTGTATTAATTATAGAGAGGAAATGGCCCTATCAATATCATGGCAGATTTTGCTGGATAACAGCATTTAAAGGGATGAGTAAAGAGCATGCGCAACACAACTTTGGAACGATTTCAAATGATAGAATTCGCAAGAGATTCATATCGAATGTTTATTTGAATATTAAAGGCCCATTCGTTATAGCCTGAAGAAGAGCCCAGGAGGGGCGATGAAAATGTTCGCAATTCTAAAAATAGGAGCACTCTGGTTAGAGGTTTGTGAAGTATTTTATTTTATTTTAATTAAACACCGGTGTGTAGAGAGATTGTATTGAAAGGTTAACTAAATGAAGTAAAAAGATGTCTCTCCTCATTAGAATTTAGGAGCAAAGGGCAAAGGTCATGTAATGGCACCCTCTGCCCTACATGTCAAATTTTTATCGATCCCACGATTTTACTATACTAGATAATGTTAAAAAACCCACTTGTAACAACATAAAACTGTTTTAACATCATATTTGAAGCACTCCCAAATTTACAAAATTAGATTACAAATTTTATTTAACATAAAAAAACTGTGTGTTCAGCCCTACGGTCAGAGTTCACTTCTTAGAATGACTGTGAATGGTACTCTCCCCTACCTGACTTTGGTGGGGTAAGGTGGCTGTTTTGCCTGTTTGTAGAAGAGGGTCACCATTTTGTATTTTATTCTGACTTGGTTCTCGGTCCCCTGACTACCTGCAAGTCTGGATTTTTTTATGCACAAATGATTTGGGCACCTAATACTCTGTGCCAAATATCAACTCTTGACATGTACTCCTTCATACCTCTAAGCTGGTAATATTGATCAGCAGTACGATTTTACAAACAAGACATAGTCTTGTCAAAAAAAAAAAATTACTGATATGCATAAATGACTTGCAAATTCATCTGTGATAATTCTCTTCTATATTTAATTTCAAAACAAACTTTTTGTCCCTTTCAGATAAAAAAAATAAATGAATAAATAATATTTTAAAATAATTTTTCTCAAAGAGAATGCATTTAATTTATTTGTATCAATACAAAACAAAATTTAAGACAAATATACTAAATTTATTGTTACCCATTGTCAATGATTAAACAAGTTTGATAGGTTTTATAAACATATTTATATTTTGATTTATGTAATTTTGTATGTTATATTGATACATTAGTCATTTTTGTTGTTAGAATTGTATTGTATTGTTTTGTGAGAACCGAGGGTAGCTGATTATATTTTCTACCAATTATTGGGCACAGCTCTTGTGGATCTGTCATGGGTCATAGGATGACTTTAAAAAGATGTTTAAATCAAACATCGTAAAATCTGGATTACAGTCAGGATTCCCAGCACCAGATAGGGATGAGATTAGCGCCCTATCACCTGTTTAAGATATCGTTTAATTAGGAGGGCTTTAAGTTGATGAGTGGGGAGAGTCGCAGGAAAGTCTGACTTGTAGTGATATCGTTTAATTAAGAGGGCTGTTACGTTGATGAGTGGAGAGAATCGCAGAAAAGTCCGACTTGCAGTGGATGAATGGTCTGAACTTAGCAAATAAATGGAATCAATAAGTAAACATAACAATTAATGTTTAATAGATAAAAGAAATATACTATATATATTGCTCCAAATCGAATACAAGTTAGCATAATCGAACTTAACTCTAAATACGTCTCTATTTATAGATATATTATTATGCCGAGCATATACAGCTAATCTTAAATGAGAAAGGAACAATTTCTGTCCTATCCTCATGAGAAAGAGAGTTTACAATATAAATCATACTACCTTACACTGTAAGTTGGTATGTAGTCTTCTTTTGTTTGGAGACTAAGCGTTGATATGTGGGACAGTGGCAGTGGAAGTTCGGGAGGAGAATGAGAATCTCGGCAGAAACTTATATATGTACAAGTTAACTATATGGACGAGAGATTTTTATGGCAGACGACCGTCTTCTATGGTCATATCAAATGATGATGAACTGCCTGGAAAGCGGCTGGATGGCCGAGCGGTCAAGGTGGCAGCCTACAGCTCTGGAGGACCCGGGCTCGAATCCGAATGGGTTGAAAAATCCCCAGGAATTTTTTGGGGGGTCGTCCGTACAGATATGTTGGGCCCCGTTCCTCACCACCTGGCAGCCCCATTGTGGGCATGGCCAAACCCATAATGGGCTTTCAAGAAGAGGCCCTCTTAGTGCCCACAGGGCAAAAAGAGTTAAAAAAAAAAAAAAAAAAGAACTGCCCGAAAGACGGGAAAACTACCCTTTTATTGGTCTCTCTGATCAATGGCATAAAAGGAGACACGGTTTCTACAGGATGTGTGACGAGTGCAGAGGGTAAACAGACAGACAGACATGGCCATCTGAATTACAGATAACGCCGTGTGGGAAAAGAAGTTGATTTTTTTCCTCTAAAAACTATGAATGAAACTTCCCTTTTCATAAACAATGTGTAGAGAAATAATATATTTTCTTACACTAATTAACCTAATAAATCCTGATTCTCACAGTATAGTAGTTGTTAGTAACTGAAACAATGTAATTTAGAATTACATATTATATACATGCAAACCATAATACATACTAAATTTATTCTATAATTCTGTCTTCGCTGCTGAATTCTAAGTCTCACAGTTTCACTTGCTCTTGTTCGAGCAATAGCTCTCTGAGCATGCGATGATAAAGATGGCTGGGTTATGTTTGAACCTCCTCCTTCATTGTCTAATTAAAATAAAAGCTTAGTCAGATATTTATTATTATAACAAAATATATTTTATAATAATTAAATTACAAAAAAATTCTACAATTCAGTTTTTACTATTTTATTGATTGAATAAAACTATAATTATGAAAATACTAAGCCCATTTTCAATGTAATATTTTCTTGTCTAATATATAACCATTTATTTAACCAGAATCTATTGATTTAAAACTAGAAATAAAACTCATGCATGAATGTATAAATAAATAAACAATAAATTTAGTTTTAAAAGTGAAATACAATAAAAATAATTAAATGTATTATTTGAATAATTATATAAATTAGTACAAAGAAATTACTTTTCCTCATTGTTCTAACCATTTTACATTAAAGGCCAGTGTTCAGTCCAACAGCAGAGTGAAGGTTTGAGGTTGCTAGCCATCACTGAAGTTGACAAGATGATCACACAGCATATAGTCAAACTCTAGTCATGGCAACTTGGCACAGTGTGGCACTGACATCAAATGTTAAAGTTAAACATTGTTCCAGCAGCACTAGAACAGAAATGTGCATCTACAGTTCGTCATCTAGTGAAGCAAAGGATAGTGAACACAGCAGAATTCTGCAAATTCTACTGTCACCAAGTTGCCATTGCAATGTAAACAACTCTGACATAAAATTTGTAATTTTCATTGTATTTGTATTAAAAACCAAAAAGATAACTTTTTTTAATTATATGATAACATATAATTAAAAAAAGTTTAATTCTCTCTTCAGGAATATTGAACTTACTTACAAAAAAAAATCTATATTACAGGAATGCAAATAATATCAATTGCAAAACATTTTTTGAAACTAATTATGACACTATTGGTTAACATAGAGTTTAAATTAGCAATAGTGTCACTGTCAACCATTTCTTACAAGGCAAAAAGATTTTCATTGTTTTAAAAGTATCACTTGTTTAATTATTAATTTAATGTATTTAATATATTATTAAATTAAAATAGTAAGCCAATTTCATAAACATTTAAAACTATGCTTATGCTAAAAATCAAATATCTGTAACTGTAATGACAGTGCAATGTATCTAATTCTAGAATTAATATAACTGAAAAAGCTTGCTGTTCCTTTTGCATTATTTGCTATTTTAATTAAGATACGAAATGTCTTCATCTAAAAAGAATAATTACAAAAATTTGTTATATTAATATTTTATAGTAAAAAGCAATGACTATCAAAAAAATCTAATAGCAGCAGCTTTTTCTATTTGGCTTATTCCTACCAATTAATATGCTATTATTACAGATATACATAACAGCAAAATAGAATAATTTTTAATGAATTCTAAGATAAATTAAATAAAATATTAATATTTTTCATAAGAATGGCATGATTCAAATATTATTTTGATTAATCTACAATTTCGTAAAGAAATTGTCTTTCATATATGTTATAAAGATAATTTAACTGAAACTCAAGAACAATTAGCTTTTAATAATTCTTATGCACAATATTTTAATAGATTAGTATGGGCTTCATTAATCTACAGCCTGCAGGTCAAATAGTCTCCAAATCGTATTTATTGAGTCCATATAAATTTTATAAACATTTGAATCAGTTATGTATATAATCTTCAGAAAAACAACTAGAATTAATAGATCTTGTTGCAAATGACTTTTATAACAAACTATTTAAAAAAGATGGTTTGTTAAATTTTTACAAATCTCTTTCAGAAGAGAATTTTAAATCTTAAGAAGTTTGCATGAGAAATATTTTCCATTTTTGTTTTCACATTCCTTTGTGAACTAGTCTTTTCAAAAATGAAGTACATAAAATCAAATGCAAAACATCAAATGTAACTGTGACAAATATCTAAAGGAGACATTAACACTGACAAAGGAACTGTCGGAGTGTCTTCTAATAAATTTTAATAAAATTTAGTTAATAACTACGTTAAAAGTATACAAACTCTATTTTAAATTTGTAGCATTCACTAAAAGTGTTGATCAGAGTTATTAGCAATCAAATGTTGCACTACTTTATAATAGTTTAACACAGTTATGCAAATTTTTCGAAGTGAAAGGATTGCAGAGGAAGACGGCGCTATTACATTTAGAATAAATTCTGGAATTTTCAAAAATGGTTGAAGAATTAATAAAATTTTGTATACTTTTAACATAATTATTAACTAAATTTTATTAATTCTTCTCCCATTTTTGAAAATTCCAGAATTTATTCTAAATGTAATATCGCCGTCTTCCTCCGCGACCCTTTCACTTCTAAAAATTTGCATAATTGTGTTAAACTACTATAAAGTAGTGCAACATTTGATTGCTAATAACTCTGATCAACACTTTTAGTGAATGCTACAAATTTAAAATAGAGTTTGTATACTTTTAACGTAGTTATTAACTAAATTTTATTAAAATTTATTAGAAGACACTCCGACAGTTCCCTTGTGAGTGCCATAAAATTCATCCCCAATTTTGATGAAATTCTTTTGAAAAACCATTTGCAAATTTAACATTGATTTAAACCCAGGGTTATTCAAAAATAAAAAACTTTAATATTTGACTATATCTTTTGCATCTGGCCTCCTGACTTGTCTTTTACAGCACAAATGGCCTTTTCAGAAAAAAGATTGGAAAAACCTGGATTAGTGTATACAAATATGTACACACTGTGTGTATTTGATATTTCAATTTAGTTAATGTACAAATAATTTCAAACTGGTTTTGAAATTATTTTAATATAATACAAATCCCAGTTATTTTATAAAATGTGATCATTTTATCTTTCTTTATTTTGAATTATATATATATTAAATTATTATGTATGAAGATGATAAGTATGCAATCTCAAATATTTAAATTAATTGAAAAACCACCACTATTTTTTTCCCCTTTGTTTTCTCTTAATAAATCATGAAGAATGATTAGAGTTTTTGCAACTAACATTCTACAGTTAATAATTCATTATCAAGCATAATAAAATCAGAATGATGGAAGAACAAACAAATATTTTTACAAAGAAATTAATATACATAATTATTTGTATTTATGAATACAGTACTATTCAAACAGTTTATTACTGGGCTGCAACAAGATTTTGTTTAAAATGTTATAATTTTTGTTTTTCTTATTACTTAAACACTTAGAAGGGACATGCCAGATTTTGCTGAAGTTTTAATAAATACATTCTAGTATACCTGTCCTCCCATTAATGCACATATATGTAACTCTGCGAACAAACAGTAGTTTATGAGAAATCATTGTTTAAACTTTTTCATGTGCATCACATACAGAATTTTACAAATAAATTCCAATAAGTGGCATGTCTGAGAAGAGTGTATTAGAACATATTTATTAAAATTTTAGCAAAACCAGAAAGTTTGGATGTGTCCTTGCTAGTGCCAGCAGTGGATTGGCAACTGAAGTTGGATCAGGAAATTACTTGAGAACAGCCATACCCCCATTTTTTTTCAAAATAATGAGCACCAAATTTTGTTATTTTATTTTTCTTATGAAATTCAGTCTAAAAGTTAAAAATAAAAAAAATGCATTTGAACTAACTTTGCTTCATTTTATAATTATTTTTATTTAATTTCACAAAAAATACTGGTCTATGAAGAATTGGAATGAAAGTAAACTGGTCCATGTATACATACAGTTTGAGTGACACTGTATTAATTAATGTATAATAAACAATTTTATATCAGCTTCTTCTTTTGGTGCCCTATCCATTATGAATGTTGGATGTCATCATGGCTAATGTATTCCTAATATTAGTTCTTCTAAACAGTTCTTCCAAAGACATTTCACACCAGTCCCTCAGGTTTTTCAGCCACGAGATTCGATATTATTCTGGTCCTCTTTTCCCAGAGATTTTTTTCTTGTATAACAAGTTGCATGATTCGGTACTTGACACCATTTGTCATCACGTGGACAAATATTCCATTTTCTTTGTTTGATGGTGTTGAATAGTTCTTATTGTTTATCCATTCATTGCTATATTTCTACATTAGTCACATGTTCTACCCAGAACACTCTTAGAAGCCTTTGTAAATCCACATTTCAAAGATTTCAATCTTCTTTTCAGATATTTTGGATATGGTCCAAGATTTAACTTGATTCAATAGCACACACAGCATCTGATTATTCTAGTTTTCGTCACAAGGGTTAGGTCTCTAGAACATAGCAATTTTTCATTTTATGAAAATAGTTCTTGTCTTTTCTATTTGCATTCTGATTTCTAAATCATGGCCCCAATTATCATTTAAGGTACTTCCCAACAAATTAAATTTTTCTACACTTTCAATTTCTTTTGATCCAGCCATCAACTTGCCCTGAGGTGATGTCTGACTTATTACACCATATATATATATATATATACACATGTAGTTTTTTTGATGTTGAGATATAAATCATATATTTTTTGCTTGAGGTTCTGACTCAATCTAGCAGCATGTGAAGATCTTTAAAATTTGTGGAGAGCTGTGCCGTGTCATTGGCATAATAAATGTTATTCAAATATTCTCCATTGATCTTGATGCCAATGTCAAATCAGCCAGTGCTTCTGAAAAAAATTTTCAGAATATATGTTGAAGAGAATGGGAGATAATATACAGCCTTGTCATACACCTCTGTGGATCTGAATTTGCTGTCAGTTGACCTTCCACCCTGACCTGTGTGGTTTGATTCCAGTAAAGAATGAAGATGATTCTGATATCTTTGTCATCAACGCCAATTCTCTGCAGTGCCTGGATGATCTTTTCATGTTAGCATCTGTTGAAAACCTTTGTATAATCTAAAAAACATATGTATGTCACATCTTATATCTCTGCATCTTTGTACGAGAACCTGCATTGTAAATAGATTGTAGTTTTGGAAGCCAAATTGTGTTTTCCAGTGTTCTCTTCACATTTTCTTTTTTTTGTAAATTCTGTTATGAATGATTTTGAAGACCCTGAGTGTGTGACTCATGAAGCTGATCGTTTTAAATTCATCACATAACTTGGCATTGGCTTTTTTGTTACAGTGATAACATTTGATCGCAGCCAATCATTTGGGATGATGCCTATGTCATAGAAGGCATTGAAGAGTTCTGTTAGTTCATTAATGTTAATTTCTGATAGAAGTTTCAACATCTCTATAGGAATGTCATCTGGACATTGGCTTTCCCGTTTTTGGATGTTCTTAAAGCTCTTATAACCTCACTCTCCACTATTGGTAGTGGAGAGTGAGGTTATAAACAGTTACCTATTATAAACAGTAACATCAGACTATTGGTAGTCTGATGTTACTGATATATGGAAAATAATACATAATAAAGCTATTCAGTGGCAATAGAGGAAAACAACCTATTATAAACAGTAACATCAGACTACCAATAGTCTGATGTTACTGTTCATAATAGGTTGTTTTCCTCTATTGCCACTGAATAGCTTTTCTATGTATTATTTTCCATATATTAAATTAAGTGGAGTTTGCTTTCAGTCAGAAATTCATTCTTTCTTCTGCAAAAATGCTTATTGCCAACTTTCTAGATTGTCTCTTTTAATCCCTTCCATTTATCTTCTAAAGATGTTCTCTCTTAATATGCTGTCATCTTTTCTAATTCCTACTGTACTGTCTATCTTATTGTTGCTCTTTGTACTTCATCTTTGAGGATGGTAATATCAGGGTCAGTTTTATGTGATTTGGGGATAGACTTATGCAGTTTCAGACTCAGATGGCAAATGAATGGTTTATGGTCTGATGATATGTCTGCACCAGAATAGGATTTGGTCACAGTGATGCTGTTACAAAATCTTTTATTTATCAAAATAAAGTCTATTTGATTTCTAACAATGTTATCTGGTCTATCTGTCAGAAAATTCCAGGTTTAAAGCCTTCTGGGAGGTAGTTTGAACGAAGTGCTAGTGATCACCATCTCTTCCTCTCTGCAAAACTGTATGAGGTGAGCCAGTCTTTCATTTCTTTCTCCAAGACCATGTGGCCCAATGATGTCTTCCAACTTTGTCTGTCCAACTTTGGTGTAGAAATCTTCCATTATTATCGTGATCTCAATTTTCTTTGCATGTTTTAGTACAGCCATGATCTGATCATAGAATTCTTCAATCTCTTCCTCTCTTTTATTTACAGTTGGTACATAAACACATATGACATTCATTCTAAATAGATTATCTTCAAATATGGCCATAACAACTCTATCCGACAGTTGTGTTACACTGTGTACCAATGTCACTATTGCTTTGTTTAGTATCACACCAACTCCATTCCGGTAGTTTGATCATCATTGCTGGAGCAATATACTATGCATTCTGAAACACAGCATTCTCCTCTTCCTGGCCATCTTGTTTTGCTTATTCCCATTATATCTATTTTTAGTCTCCTCATTTCATGTATTACATTATGAATTTTACCACTTTCATAGATACTTCTGACATTCCAGATACAGATATTTGTGGTTAATTGGGGGATTCTTCATTTGATTTTTAACAATTTTCTGCCCACTAAAAGGCTGCAGGAAACTGAGGGCCAATTGTAACAGGTTTTCAGCCATAAAAGATTTTCCTGTGAAAGTTAATATGTTGGTTTTCCCTTGCCTTCTGCATTACTGTAAGGCATTTTTGTCATTTCAGCTGCACCCTCAATTTCTTGGAGTTAAGCCTTAATACAGTATCGACCCTGCTGTTTCCAAGACCAGAAATGTCTTTCATCTTCTCAGACTACATTCTAAATTTTCAAGATTCAAAATTAACAATCTTCTAGATTTATATCAGCTAAATGTAATAAATGTACTCAAATTTTATACAAGTTTCACATCATTAACATATTAAAAATTTTATAACAGGAAACAAGGCTAATGTTTATTTGCCAGATAAATTTAAACAGAAAACTGATAGATAATATCAATTTTAAGAAAAATTAAGAAGTAAAAATTTTATTGCAGTTCTAGATTTTCCAGAAGTATTTAAATGAAGTTACTCAACTGATGAAATCCATTCAGAGCAACAATTTATTTAATTTATTGTTAGATGAATAATTTTGTAAATTGTGATATTGTTTAAATATAGTAATTAAAATATACATACTTTCTATCCCCTCAAACATAGAGCAATTTGGACAATACCATTCCATAATTGGTATATGTTCAAGAGGTGGAGTAAGACATTCACAATGATAACCTTTATCACAATGGTCACAAAGCAAAAGACGATCTTCTCGATCACAGAATCCACATACTTCACAGTATGTAACATCATCCGTTTCATTGTCCTTTTCAGAAGTTTCAACAGGTATCTAAATGTATATAAAATGCATATATTAGACTTTTTATTAATTCATTATATGTAGTAATTAACAGAATCATTTCATTATTATAATTTTCAACTAAAACTTTCTTAAAGTATAGTATAAGTTTCCAAAAGAATATTCCAACATATACACTAACTAACATAAAGTATTCAAACATTCAGTTTCCAACTTCAATGACCACCAGTGATAACCTCAATATTTTGTCATCTCTCCTGGATCTTCCAGGAAATAATTTCCACTGATCCAGGCAGCACAGATGCTGGAATTCCATTCCATTTATAGAATCCAGACTAACTCAGCTATAAATTTTGGTCTGTCCTATGTGGTTCTGTTTTGTTGCCCTAATTTATCTCAATGTTCTACTGCAGTGATGGTGAACCTTTTTGAAAAGTGGGTCAAATTTTGTTCATTAGTACTAGCTTGTGGGTCACTAAGTCAGTGGTGTCACTTGGAAAGGGGAGGAGAAGATGATTAAAAACTACATTTTTTGGTTCGCACTTTTAAAATCCTCTAAAAAGTTTACATTTCCTTTTTGTTTTACACCTTTTATTTTTGCAAATGAAGAGCAAAAAATAAAGGCTGACTTAAAAAAGTTGATATCAATGGGATGATAGTATAAATACATCATCAGGTGACACCATGTCCAGTCAGCAGTCACCCCTGCACTGAGTATTTTAACGAACAAGGAATAAAGAAAATCACATATATACTGTATTAGCCCGAATATAACGCAATATTTTTCGACCACTTATTTTCCATTAAAAAATCAACTCGCGCTAAATTCAGGGTTTAAGTAATGGAATGTAATATAAACAAGGACATTTTCCTACAGAGGCTGCCTGGGTTATTAGCTATACAGTAGAGCGTCATTTATCCGAAACGTCTGTTATCCGAAAGCATTCCAGTCGGCAAATTTAAATTTTTGCTAGTGCTGCGGCGCTGCAATCTTTGGCTATTTCTTGGGTTACTCAAATATTTTACATTTTTGATACTAAATTAACATCTGAAGTATAATTTTTTATTGTTTTTATATTTTTCAATATATTTATTCTGTTTGTACAAAATAAAAAATTAATTTTTAACGATACAAAAGTCTTCGTTAGGCTTAACATCGACGAAAATTCAACGTGAAGCGACACACAATGGAGAAAAATTTCAACATGGGATAAATTAATATATTTTTTCGTACATGATTCGTTATTCGAAAAATAAGTTATCCGAACCACCCCAGTCCCCAATTGATTCGGATAAATGATGCTCTACTGTAATTACATAAATAAATGCTTATCTGATTGAATTTTACTTTCTTTGAATTCTTTTATGAGTATTATTTTTTTTCTAAATATCTTTATGAAAATTTTGGAGTCGCGTTAAATTCGGGGTCGCGTTATATTCGGGCTAATACGGTAATATGAAATATTATTTATTAATAGATATAGTTACAGGTATGTGTATGTATAATAAAGTTGATAATAAAGTCGAAGTATATTTAATGAGAAATCTGTTGTTGTTTATTTTCAGATAGTTTCTTAATATTAGGTTCATATTCTGTATTCCTTAGTTAACATATTTTGCATACAATTCATTTCCAAGTTTATTTCTATTGGTAGATTTTACAAAATTCATTGAAGAAAACAATTTTTCACATGAATATGTGGATCCAAACATCTTTAAAAGAGCATTAGCAAGTTTCTTCATTGATATAAAATTATTTGGTAAAGAATCCCATACGTTTAATATAATATTTTCAATTTTTAGTGCAGGATCATTATTATCTGCACTACTTTCAAACATTTTTCCTTCTACTTTGAAAAGTAAGTTTTCAAATTTATTTTTCCACACAATGCTGCTTTGAAATTCAACTAATTCTATTTCTAAATCATGGATGCCTAGCTACATAAATTCGGTTAACTCCCTTGTTTCAAATTCCGTTTTGTATGGATATAAAATAAAGTGAAATGTATCTGCATTGGGCCTTTAGACTGGTTTTTTTTTTATAAATTTGACATTAGATATATAGTATATACATTATTTTTTAATATTTTTAATTGTCTGTTCTCTCTTTTATGATATAAAAAACAAGTTCATAAAAATCAACGTGTGGGTCACTTAAAAAGCCTGCATGGGTCAGTGCCTGACCCGTGGGTCATAAGTTCGCCATCACTGTTCTATTGGGTTGAAATCAGGACTCTGGGTAGACCAAATGATGTGTTGCATATTGTTGTCATTGTACTAGGCAAGTGTAGTGATTGATTTTGTAAATTCTGTTATGAATGATGACAGCTTGTATTATTATCCTGGAAGTATGCATCCACTCCTTTGATTGTAAGCAAATTTGCTTTGATATCCAACTTATTTGCACCAGGCTTTATAGTTATCTTTTTGTTAAGACAATTTAGGTATTTATATGTAGTAAAATTGGTGTGATGACATTCTATGCAAGAGTATAGAACAAATAAATCTGTATCATACTTTTTTCATAATGAAAAAGTATATGTATATAAATTTTTAGTTATAAAATATTTCACAGTAATACTTTCAAAAAATCTTCTCACAGCTGGTTACATAGTAAATAACACCAATGAACCTTTATAATTAAACCAGCAAATAAAGTTTTTAATACAAGTGCTTTTGATCCTAATTGGGATCTGCTTCAGGTCAAAATGTTCTATACAAAAATTTGGAATGCTTAAAGATTAAATATTTGAACAAATACAAAAACATCCATCTATGCATTAATGGCTAAATAGAACATTTTGACCAGAAGCAGATCCCAATTAGGATCGAAAGTGCTTGTCAAAGTATATTAAAAACTTTATTTGCTGGTTTAATTATAAATGTTTGTTGGTGTTGTTTGTTACCTTTAAAAAATAGAACACAACAGTTTGCAATAATTTCTATAGGTTTTAATTAAAAGTTTTTATAAAAAAAACACTTATAAGAATTTTTAAATTAATAAAAACTTACTTTATCTATAATTTCTCCTCTCAATTCATGTCGAGAAATAATCTGGTTATAAAGTTTCCTGTCCACTGGGCAAGTATTAATATTCTATAAATACAAAAGATATTGTTAAATAATATTAATAATAATGTCATATTTATTTCTTGAAGTGTAAAAAATAGAATGAGATTTAAGTATTCAAAATTGTTTTAAATATTTTCTTATAATATACTACCAATAACATATCAATAAATAGTTTTTATTAAATTTTCACAAATACTTGAACATTATAACAGTTTTTCTTATCAAATTAGCAAATAAAGCAATTTAAACATTTTTTAGACTAACAAATCAAATATTTTGAATGTTTATGCACCAATGTATTATTAACAGATATTCATTTTTATATGATAAACTGCCATATTTCCCTATAATTTATCAATGTTTGTATGTACTGGTACATGTAAATACTGAACATTTTAATACAGAATTAAAGCTCAATATTACTGAGTTTTCACTATGTATTAAAATATATTATGATAATGTATCACAATATCAATATATAATAATACAGTCACAAAAACTTCATGTATTTAAACAGTGATAAGTGTTAAGTGGCGAGAAGAGAAAAATGAAGCAACAAGGCTGTATTAAGTCAACTTTGTGCTTGATTTTAATGCACACTCCAATTTTTCAAACCAGAAAAGTTCAAAAAGCTCCTTAGAATAAAAAAAAACACAATATATTCCACTATTTTACAGTTTGTTCCCTCTCATTCTTATAATAACAAGAAAGAATAAATAAATAAATGTATATTATTAATTATTTTATTTAAAAAATAACTTTTTCTATGTTACCTTAGTCCACTCTAATAAACATTCTAAACAAAAATTATGATCACAGCTGTCAGGTGAACCAACTGTTTGTCCAATGAATCTATTTAAACATATAGGACATCTTTCAGAAAGGTCATTTGATGAATCTGAATCAATATCTGAATTCATTGTTTTATTCAGACTTCTTGAAATTTCACCATCTAAAAAAAAAAAATATTGAATAAATGTCATTTTTACAAATATAATTTTATGAATTCACAGTTACAATAACTGTATAATTATAGAATTAATTATTATTTACATACAATATAAAAACTGATTAATATTTCATTATAAGCTAATAAAATAATTTCTTCAAAGACAATAAAAACTATTTAAATATATCAAATACAAAATCCAAAATCAATTTAGACTATCAAAAATCAAATAAATTTGTCAATACCTGAATCTGTATGCTCATTCAAGTTTTCTATTCATCAATTTCGTTCATTTAATGAATACTAATTAAGAATTTATTATTCACTAAATGTTCTCTCTTATCATCATAGATGTTTACTGTACTGTTTTTCTACAGGTATATTTTGCTTTTATTTCAAAAAGAACTAATTAATCTGAGATATATTAAACATTAAAATGTTTTTGATAAAATACTGTATAATATGTTAAACAATAATGAAAAATGAGTATTAATGTTTGTTTTGCATTTAGAAATTCTACATTACTACTTTACTTGATTAAAGAAATGTTCAGTAGTAATTCCAAAACTATATATTATAAGCATATTTGTATCATCATCAATAAGCAGTAAATAACTAAATATGTGGTTACATATATAGCTATTTACTGTATATAACATACAATAAACTCTCTGTTAATCAAAACTCAAGAATCTGGCAAAATAATCAAATCTTTAAATAAAAACTAAATAAAATCCATTTCTAACAGAAATATGTAGTATATAAGTATAACCTTGGTACACCACTGTAAGTCCATGCCTTTTGCACCACATTTGTCTCCCACTGCCATTTAATTAAAATTGCATACTGCATTCACAAAGCTATTTTTATACCATAATAAAACTGTGTTATATTAAGTTAAATTTGTCTTAATTTGCTTTTAATTACTGTATTTCAATATTAATATCAAGTCAACACAGCTTATGGTATGATATGGTATAATAGGAGGTACAGTACAATATTAGTTATACCTATTTTTAATAGTAACTATCAAGCAACCTGAAACTACCTTTATCCAGCATCTACCAATCCCCATAGATGCTGATTAACTGAGAGTCTACTGTATACAAAAAATATATGTTCACACACAAATACAATCAAAAATCTTTTCAATTTGGACATTAGTGAAAATTAAGAAAGTTCAAATTATTCCTTTTAAAAACATTAAACCAATTTTCTGCAAACTTTCAGTGNTGAATCAATATCTGAATTCATTGTTTTATTCAGACTTCTTGAAATTTCACCATCTAAAAAAAAAAATATTGAATAAATGTCATTTTTACAAATATAATTTTATGAATTCACAGTTACAATAACTGTATAATTATAGAATTAATTATTATTTACATACAATATAAAAACTGATTAATATTTCATTATAAGCTAATAAAATAATTTCTTCAAAGACAATAAAAACTATTTAAATATATCAAATACAAAATCCAAAATCAATTTAGACTATCAAAAATCAAATAAATTTGTCAATACCTGAATCTGTATGCTCATTCAAGTTTTCTATTCATCAATTTCGTTCATTTAATGAATACTAATTAAGAATTTATTATTCACTAAATGTTCTCTCTTATCATCATAGATGTTTACTGTACTGTTTTTCTACAGGTATATTTTGCTTTTATTTCAAAAAGAACTAATTAATCTGAGATATATTAAACATTAAAATGTTTTTGATAAAATACTGTATAATATGTTAAACAATAATGAAAAATGAGTATTAATGTTTGTTTTGCATTTAGAAATTCTACATTACTACTTTACTTGATTAAAGAAATGTTCAGTAGTAATTCCAAAACTATATATTATAAGCATATTTGTATCATCATCAATAAGCAGTAAATAACTAAATATGTGGTTACATATATAGCTATTTACTGTATATAACATACAATAAACTCTCTGTTAATCAAAACTCAAGAATCTGGCAAAATAATCAAATCTTTAAATAAAAACTAAATAAAATCCATTTCTAACAGAAATATGTAGTATATAAGTATAACCTTGGTACACCACTGTAAGTCCATGCCTTTTGCACCACATTTGTCTCCCACTGCCATTTAATTAAAATTGCATACTGCATTCACAAAGCTATTTTTATACCATAATAAAACTGTGTTATATTAAGTTAAATTTGTCTTAATTTGCTTTTAATTACTGTATTTCAATATTAATATCAAGTCAACACAGCTTATGGTATGATATGGTATAATAGGAGGTACAGTACAATATTAGTTATACCTATTTTTAATAGTAACTATCAAGCAACCTGAAACTACCTTTATCCAGCATCTACCAATCCCCATAGATGCTGATTAACTGAGAGTCTACTGTATACAAAAAATATATGTTCACACACAAATACAATCAAAAATCTTTTCAATTTGGACATTAGTGAAAATTAAGAAAGTTCAAATTATTCCTTTTAAAAACATTAAACCAATTTTCTGCAAACTTTCAGTGTTTGTTAGTGTTCCACAATCTTTGACATCAACACATTTTCTCTTTACTTTCACACTCTTTTTTTTATTTTATTTTATATATCTACTAGCAGATGATTATTTCATACTTCTAACATTTCTACTATATTATATTATAGTATTTGATTTATATTTATTAAGGTTACCTTACGTAAGATTTTATCACACCGTGTGCCCAATCTAACACATTTAAAAATTATTTAAATTGTGTACAGTATAGGAATAAAGAATTTTTAAAACGTGTTAGATTGATCATTTGATGTGATAAACTCTTATGTAAGATAACCTTTACAGTTATACAAGTTCGGACACGTGCACTGTGTATCTTGTCAACCATGCAACTGTACTGTGTGGTTACCTATCTCTTATATGTATGCATCTTGCCCCTTGCCACCTGCTGACACCAAAAATATAATACTTACCTAGATGATATCTTTTAATTTATATGAATGTTTAACGAAATTATATACAGCTTATGTTCACCCTGAAGGCCCATTCAAAATATTGGTAAAATAAATTTTGAAATTGGATGAGTAGTTTCAGAGATTACCTCCTACATCCAAACTTACAAACTTCACTTCTTTATAATATTAGTATAGATAGTCTTCTCCAACATAACAACTACTTTCTTTCCTTTAGAGGTCATTTTCACAGTGTTTACTTTATTTCACAAATGTTTGAAGATGAGTGAAACTCAGCAAAACAATAGAGGCTTTATAGTGTCGAGTAAATAATAACTCGCAAGATTACAAACAATAAGATTATTAATTAACATGTTGACTGCCAAGAGAAGTACACTTTTATTCAACAGAAAAATAAAGTTGAAAATCTTAAAAGATTAGAAAAAGTTCAACAAAATATTAAGTAAATTCATAGAACACCCTTGAAATACATCAATGAACATCAGATGCCAATTCATAAGAAACAAATCTATCCTTATTACACTCAGGCAAGAATGTAATTAGGAGTTCTTTGATTTTTTGCATTTATAGGTTTTCTGTACAGTCGACCCCCCTATAACGTACGTTCCTATAACGACAATTCCTATAACGTAGCGACAAAATTGTAGAAACTTTCGTATAAAATACCTCCTATAACGTCGTTTTGCGACAAGATTGATAGAGTCTGGACCAATAGTGGATGAGCAGCCGAACTACTTTCCTCTGACCCTGCGCCACGCTACGGAGCGGCTAAATTGAGTTTGCTATCGTCTGTTTAGTATTATATATAAATTATATATAAATTAGGTACTGTACATATAATTATATATTAATTATATATAAATTAGGTACTGTATATATAATTATATATTAACTTAATTTATTGTAACTTTATTATAATTATATATATGCTTTCTGCCGCCTGGCAACACGCTACGGAGATTTTAGGCTAGTAAGTTGAGTTTATTA